TACGGACAGTGATTATCTAAAAATTGTGGGTTTTTTCCATGGGAAAAATATAGCAGCGGTGTATTGACAACTTATTAAGCCTCAGGACTGCCTGAAGACACTCCTTCAGTAGCGTTGGGCAATAGGCTGTTTATCTTTCAGGACAGCTTATTCGCCATCTTCCTTCTGAAGAACTCCATTCCAAAGCCATGTAGTCGTGCTCAGGCATCTACTGAAGGTCATCTCTGCAGTCTGTTTGCTCCCTTGCCTCTTGAAGTGATGTAGACAATGGTGATGGTGAGGAGAAAGAGCTGAGGGGGCCACTGTCCACTTGCCTCCAGGCTCTCTCTGCTTGGCAAGCAAATGGTAGCCATGATGAGAAAATGGATGTGGAACAATAACGGCTGTTCATGATGGTGGCGAGAAGAGAGACACACTGAGGGAAGGGCCCAACGAGGGTGTCTTGCCCAACAACCCTCAAAAACCAGCACTGAACCCCAGACACAGGCTGAAAGCAGTCGTTCTACTTTCCAGAATTCTCATACTAACAGTTGACAAGAGTAGCAAACCTATCCAATTGCAAGGGGTGTTGTGAAATGTATATGGCATAACGTGAGCAAGAACATGGTGGCCACCAGACTCACTGTGCTTGGGATCCACAAAGGATGGAATGCGAGAGGTTGACATGCTGGCTTAATTGCTGCACGACGTAAATCCCGCAGCAAAGCCACAGTGCTGGTCAACAATAGAATGGTTATTTACTGCCTTGAACTCAAATTATGACCGTCTATACCCACGAGTCCAGATCGCCTTATTACTGATTCAACATGGGCTGAAACAAGCCAGAAGTATTATTTCTTAGCCAAAAGAATTTCTCCTTCCCGGTACAAGAGAAAACACATGGTGCACCGCTTTCATGTAAAATCCCACAAGGGGAATCAAAGAGGCTGTGAGGTTGCCATACATAGTTGAGGCGATTCAGACCTAGCCTGCCTCATCCTCAACAAACAAGACAGACTTCTCTGAAAAATGACCAAAGGTTATTGCACAAATGACAGGGTATTTGCTTAAAATTGTCGTGGGCGGCATTTCAAGCTGCAGAAGCAACTGACTATAAAAATTAAAATGCTATTAAGCAACCCTTGGGAGTACCTTCAGCCTCTTGCGGGAGACTGGGAAGGGCCATCCATTCTTACAATAAGCAGATTGCCCACGTGTGCCTTGGAATTTTCAAGCATTCATTTGTAATAGGAATTGCCCATCAGCTCTGTTGTAGTCACACGGTCATTATTTACTCTCCCTCAGCCTTTGTAACCATCCATTCTTATATCAACATACAGCTAACAACAGTACTGTTAAAATGGTAAATAACCAACTTATTTGCACTCTGAATATATCCCATGTACATTAATAGCAAACTCATCCCTGAAGTGTGGATCTTTATACAGCCGAACTACCCGTTCTCTGTACACAAGAAAGAAATAACACCAGGCTCAAGTTTTGCAAAAATACATCTGAAAACTACAAATCATGAAACACCATATCCAGGAATAACATGATGTAATATAAGAAGCTTCAGACAAAGGTTTTGGGGAGGCCATTAAAGTTATTGAATATTTTAGCGGAAGAATTCCAGGAGGTTGCATTCCCTCACTTCATATTCAAAGGGAGTGGATTTTTTTCCCCAAATACTACATTTAACGAAGTGCTTCATCATATCTCATGCAATGAAACAATTTCATGTGGGAGAAGCATGCTGTCTTACACAGAATGGAACATCTGGATTGACAAACTGCTTAAAGAATTGCAAATCTGATGCAACCGCAAACACTCTGTCTTGAAAAAAATGGGTGAAAAATCAAAACATCAGCACGCCATTAACCACAGAAAGAATGTCAGGCACAGTGTCTAATGGAATGGTTACTCCTAACATTCTTTGCTTTATGAAGTGAAGGCACAATTAGGAAACATTCATCTAAATGTTCATTAGAAAGAAGGAAAGGGCTAGAAAGGTGTCAAGTACATCTACTCGAGTCTCAATCACCAGAAGCGGTGTTAGGGGGTATCCCGGCAGGTCTTGGACCCCAAAACATCCATTTGGAGCCCTGGATGTCTGAGAGAACTTCTGTCCCACCAGCCTGTTCTGTATTGCAAAAATCAAGGTTCGGGGGCCCTTGATATTCTCCCCTATATTAGCTGGATATTTGCCCACCTAGACCTCTTTGTACAATTTAGGAGACAAGGTTCTTGACAGATACTCAGAGACTTTTGAGAAAGTGTCCACCAACACATACAGGTGCGTGCATTGTTTGTCTTGCGTGCCAGAGCCTAATTTATTCAAAGTTTGGAAAGGGCGATTTGCCTACTGGAGGGCATTCTCCAGGTGCCCTCTGCATTCTGAGGTGAGGTGGGCAGAGAACCTTTCGGCTGTAGCCCCCTAGTTCTCCTTGGGGATACTTGTTGAGATTTCCTTTCTTAGCTTTAAGGTGCCAGAAAAATATTCTCCTGAGCTCTTAATTCTATTTATTTTTCTGCTCTGTTTCTACCTACGTTTTTGAGTTTTGGATTGTTGCTTTTGTCTATTTTCTTCATATTCTTTTTTTTTGGTTCTGTTTTGTTTTAATTGAAAACAATTAAAATTCGTTGCTGTTAAAATTTGTTTGTGGCTGCTTTGGAACTATTCATTTGGAACTAAAAACAAGATATAAATCAACCTGCTACTCTGAAATCAAGTCACAAAGTGTTCCCCACCACACTGTTCCCCAAAGTGTTCCGCTTTTATCTCTACTAGTAATAAATCACTCCCCCCTCATATCTTACTTTGTCATATTTTGGTCAATATTTTTCTTCTCTTTCTTCAACTATTACAAATTAATTAGGAGGCTCGTAGATAGTTTAGAAAAAAGATTTTCAGCAGCCTAATAATTAAAGCTGAGTTTAGATCCACTTCCCCACTGCCACCAACTCTTTTTAGATGCTTTTGAGGCTTTTGAGAAGCATTTCTCAATTCCAAGGCACTGAATTGCGCCTCCAGAAGGTGAAGTACTGACAAGACCTTGACAGTCATAGATGCATCTTGAGCTATCTTGCCTGTCCTTTTGCCTTTCTCCCAACCCATCACTGAAATGCAGGCCTTGGGAGCATCTTCAAAATGGAATTTGGCACATGGCTGAAAGACATCTTCCATGTTTTATTTTATTTATTTATTTATTAAAACATTTTTATGCCGCCCCATTCGCCGAAGCCTCGGGGCGGCTTACAACAATAAATTAAAATAACATTTTAAAATATATACATTAAAATACAAATATATGATATAAAACATACAATATAAAACAAGCCGCCCTGGCCAGATAAAATTCAATAATATTAACATTTAAAATACTGCTTAAATAAAAAGGTCTTCGCCTGGCGCCGAAAAACAAATAACGACGGCGCCAGGCGGACCTCTCTGGGGAGCGCATTCCATAACTTAGGCGCCACCTCTGAGAAAGCCCTCCTCCAAGTAACCACCCTCCTAACTTCTTCCACGGAGGGCTCCCGGAGAAGGGCCTCTCCCGCAGATCTCAGGGGGCGGCTGGGCATATATGAACGTAGGCGCTCCTTCAGGTAACCAGGACCCAAGCCGTTTAGGGCTTTATAGGTCATCACCAACACCTTGAATTGGGCCCGGACTTCAATGGGAAGCCAGTGAAGCTGACGGAGAACTGGAGTCATGTGAACATAATGTTCCCACAGTACAGGAAGCAGGCCTGGCTGCAAGGAAAGTTCTGGAAGCTGTACTTCCTCTGATCTTGTAGGAGAGAGGAACAGCTCAGCTCTCCTCATCTGCACACCCTTCTTGTTATACAAATTAGACCACATTCCCTGCTTTCCATGTGAATGGGGCAGACCCATGAGCTGCGCTATGCCATCACATGTAGTTTGGCGTTGAATGGATATGCCCTGACCTCTTGCAGTATTTACCCTCCTGACCCGCATGACTCTGCAGAAGGCTCTTGAGTCGATGCAGCCCCACAGAACTTACAAGCCTTTGTACGTGGCCTGGGATAAGAATGCAGCTCTTGCCCCACAGAGCACTTCTAAGCATGTTGACTGCAATGGAGTTCAAAGGAGTTTACTCCCACGTAAGAGCAAGTGGCTGTGACACCCGTTGTAGAATCAGCTCCCCAAAGAGGTCCACCTGGCGCCTACCCTCCATTCCTTTGGCACCAGGCAAAAAACCTTTTTGTTTACACAACATTTTAATAGTTGAATGATTTTAATTCTTTTAAAGCCAATTTTAACTCTGAGTTGATGTTGTATTTATTGTTCTGCTGCTGTAGCTTTGGAATAACTTGAATGCAGTTGTTGTAGGCCTGCTGTTGTTTGTATATTATATATATTCGATTTTAATGTTACCAATTCTGTTAAATGGTATTTTATTTGTGCTGTGGGTTGTTGTTTTTGTTTTATTCTGTGTACTGGCCAGAGAGCCATTCTGGGCTTATGGGCAGTATCACAAATAAATACATACATACATACATACATACATACAGGATTGCCACTTCAATTGGATCATCCATCATTTATATGGGTTCTTTATGATTCTGTTTTTATATTTGGAGAGCTACAGCTGAAAGACAGTAACTACTTCAGGAATCCAGGGGGGAAATCAGGTCTTAAACGCCAGTGATTGGCAGGAAGAAGGTACAGAAAAATTGAATGAAAGAAAATGAAAATACCAACAACGCCAACATTATCAAGTGAGCCAAATGGGAGTTTATGTTGCCTTAACTCTAAGCAGCTTTTTAAAATTATAAGTGTGTTGAAAATCCATTTTCTAATGATTTATCAAAGACTAGTGCATTAACAGCAATGATACAAGACAGACAGAAAAAAATGAGAATTGAAGATATCTCCAAAACATGGCAGAGGAGGAAACAGGGGAAGGGGGATTTATTAACAGTATAAATAAAAGAGGTGGGGGGTTAATTTCAGAGCAGAAAACTGACGTTGTCTTTTCATAAACAGTGCCATACCTTTAAGCCTTCTGACAGCTTGAGTTGGGAAACAACGTTCCGTCTGAAAGCAGGCCCTATTAAAAAGCATAATGTTTCTAAACAGCATCTGTTATGTACTAATAAGCATTACTTAAAGGACAGAGACCTTTAATTGCTACCAAACGTGCACTTACTGAAAAATGCCACAAGGCAATTTTTACCAAAAATGTCACATGATCCCGCAGGAATCCCAACAATACAAAATGTTTTTAGTTTAATTTGGCTGCAAGTCACGCAGTCCAGCAAAAGTATGGTGGCGATTACGGCAAATCCTATGAAAATGTTTGTGAAGCTTCTCCGGAATAAATGACAAATAAGAATTACATCAGAGCAATTTGCCATCTGTTGTCAGCAATACCACGGGGCTAAGGCTGGTCACCAGGCTGTCCTTTCATAACTTACAAATGCAACATTTTTAATATGCAGCTAAGCAGAATAAGCTTGTGTACTTACAAGGGGGAGAGAGAGAGAGAGCTGCGTGGCCCAGAACACCCTGGAAGTGGCATTTTTTAACAACTGAAAATGCAGAATGTGTACAATTGTGCAACCACAACCCAGCATGTGCTGTTCTGCTCAGATTTACCAAAGTAAAAGATGCAACTTCACCATGTATTTGAGACATTCCACATTTAAGCATTATATCTGAACATGTGCCTCGTGTTTATGTAACTCTTAAAGAACATTGAAAATACATAGGATTAAAGCCTTGACAACAGCTCTCACGTTATTGAATGAACCTCCGACCCAGCAGGTGTTTTTAGTCAAGCTAAATCCCATTTTGTTGAAGTACATTTTTCTGAAATACAAGTATATTAACAAATGGGCTCCACGAGTGTTCTGTGGAAAGAAAAGCTGAACAAAGAGGAGGTAATAAAGCCAGAGCAGAGGAGAAAGAGCTAGTCAGACAAACATGTAAGACAGATACTATTACTATTTACATTACATTTCTCTACCGCCCATAGCCAAAGCTCTCCAGGCAATTCACAGAATTTAAGTAACCCTCCAGACTTTATCTAGGCCTGACCATGCTTAGCTTCACAGACCAGGGAGGGTCAGGCACTTCAAGCTATATGGAAGATGCAGAGGAAAATAAGAGGAAAAAAATGAGAGTAGTGTGCACACTGAAGTGTAGAGTTAACCAATGGATTCCAGGCCAGGCCATAAGGAAGGCCACAGATGCAGAGAAGCCTTCCAGCTGTGAGCTCCCTCCAGAGTACACAAACGCTGTCGAGATGTTTGCCTCAGTACCACTGCAGGATTACAGGAACCCACCTCAGCCTGTGTTTACATGCAAATACATAATTTTGGGCATGGCTGTGAGAACATACCTGAAAACGCAAGGTGCAATCCAACGATGCACGGCCACTAGGCTCCAAAAAATCCTATGGCTGTCTAGATGTTGTTTGGCAACCATACGAAGCTGCGGGGGGGGGGGGCAGATGTTCCCCCAAATGATCTGTCCTAGAATCTCTTCTAAGTATATTCACACAATTATCAGTACCCCATTTTCAGCTCATGTGTGTACGTGGCAGGGGGAGAGGCGGAGAGTCCTCTCTCTGACAGGTTGTCAGAGGAGAGTCATCCAAGGTATTCCACATTGGAAGCGTTGTCCTATTTAACAATAAAGAATCCTCGGAAGGAAAAATATATGAAGGGCAAACTAGAGCTTTGACATTGTCCATCAACAAACCCGGGCAACAAACATGCAGGGCATATTGTTACTGCTCTCTCCTGTTTATAACATATGGTGTTTCTATTTTATTTATTTCTAAACTTGCACCTATACCTGTAAATGAGCTCATGAAAAATTTATGTGCATCTATGCTTTTTGTCCTTTTTTCAGGAAATGCGCTTTTTCCTTTTTAATACCACGCTTTAGGGAGCAGGACCCATCTCGGCAAAGATAGCTTTCCTACTGGCTGGAAGAGCATTTTTTTGCGATGGGGTTAAAACGTTACAGAAGGAACTGAGCAGTTTTTGTGGGGAGCAACTATGTGTGTGGCTCAAAAGATGAGAAGGATCCCGCCATGCTACAGAACATACAAGCCCAAATCCTTTGCTATTGTTAAAGATTCCACTGCCCTCCATGGCTGGGTGTGCGTCCGCGCTTTAGGCGTCTTCGTCAGCATGCCCACTGTCACGACTAAATCGCTGGAATCCTCTCCACATGAGTCTGTCTTTAGGGCTCAGTTGAAATCTGCAGAATGCTGCGGGTGGAGTGCCTTCCTGCACACATATTATGGCAGTGCAGCATAGGTTTAAGGTAAGTCCCACACCTTTGGGACCAGGTAACCTTACGGATTATCTCTCCTATTATTAACTCCAATCTTCTGGGAAAGCTCGCTGCCTGTGCCACAGGCTTTGGATTTCTATTGGACAGGGATGCAGAAATTAAGCTCAGGAGAAAGACAAGGAAGAGGAGGCATGATGGAGGTGCTTAAAATAATGCACAGTGAGAAGAAAGTAGAGAGGGAGACATTTTTCTCCCTCTCCCATAATACTTGAACCCAGGGTCATCCCATGAAGCTGACTGTCAGAACAGATAAAAAGCACTTCTTCCCATGGTGTATAGTTAAACTATGGAACTCACTGCCACTGGAAGTGATGATGATCACCAAACCTGATGGCTTTCAAAAGGGACTGGAGAGATTCGTGAGGGGGAAAGCTATCCATGGCTACTAGCCTTGCTGGCTGTGGGCTACCCCTTCACCAGAGGAGGCCTGCCTGTGTACACCAGTGGCTGAGGAGCTTGGGCAGGGGAGGTCTTGCACCCATCCTGCTGCAGGGATCCTGTGGGCAGCTGGACTAGGTGGACCTTGGGTCTGATCCAGCAGGGTTTTTCGTAGGCTATGTTCCCTGGGGTGGTGCCCACCCTGAAGAATGATCTACCATCTCGGGAATACCAAGCCTCAACATGGGCATCTTTTAGGTTTTTACTCAAAATGCATCTGGCTGTAAATCAACTTCTAAGGGTGTGGGTATGTGTTTTACATTTCTTTGATAACCCATTTTAGGATTTGTTCAGTGGGAATTGATGATCATGGTAATGGCATAGCAATAATATATACTGATTGTGGATATCTGTATTTGTTGGTGAACTGCTTTTGGTGGTGGAATACAATTACAAATTTTAATACTACTAATAATAATGTCGTACAGCAAAGGGAGGAGTGCAATCTAATGGCATAAAATACTACACATCCCTTGACAAAGCCACACAGAAGGCAGCACCAAGGCAGCTGGACAATTTTAGAACCTGGCCTTTCAAGAGCAGTGTTCATTACTTCAGTCACAAATCCTACAGCTACCAGCATCCAACAGGGAAGCCCTACAATGCCCAGAATCCCCCAGCATCTCTTTAAACAGAAAGGGCCTCATCTCCCAGCATTCCCCAGCAGGCAGACCGGGCAGGAGAAAAGCCTATAGCTCCCAGAATCCAACAGGGAAGCCCTACAATACCCAGCATCCGTCGGAGGAGCCCGGCGGGCGAGCGAGCGAGCGAGCGCCGCAGGTCCTTCTCCCGCGTCCGCGTGCGGGGCGGCGTCGCGCAGAGCCCCGCGCGGCCCGGGGCGCCCCCTCGCCCGCATCCCGGCCGGGCCGGGCCGGGCCGCCCGCTTCTTACCCGCAACCGCGGCAGCGCTCCCCGCCTGCCCCGGAGGCGCCGCCGCCGCCGCCATCCCTTCCGCGGAGGCGGCTCCCTCCGCCGCCGCCTCTTCCCCGCCCTCTCGGAGGCCGCGCCAGAGAGGCCGCGGTGGCTTCACACGGCCGGGCGCGCGCCCTGCAGCCGGCGACGCGTGTCCTCGCACTCTTACGTGCGGCCTGGGCTTGCGTAGCGCGCGGCGCGGCGGGGTGCGGAGAGGCAATGCGTCCTGCCGGGCGGGTCACCCCGGCCTGCGACGCCGCGAAGGGCCGGCGCGGCGGGGCCCGTGCGCGCAGCCGGGGCCACTGGCCCCTTGCCGCGGGTGCGCAGGCAGCGCCTCCCCGGAAGTGGCGCTCGGCTCTTTTGGCGCCCTGCCGGGGAGTGCTCGCTTGCTAAGTGGCGTTCGCGCGCGCGGATGGGCCGCCGCGGGCTGCAGGTGCCGGGAGCCGGGGGGCACCCGGGGCGCGGGGCGCCGCGTCTTCCGAGCAGGGGCGCGTGGATTCCTCGACCCTGGCTCGCCGAGGTTTTTACCCCCACGCAAAACAGGCCATGGCGCCTGGGCTCGGACGAGGCAACGGGCCCTGGACGCCGGGCAAGGAATGAGGCTGATGGGGCCTGACGTGCGTTACCAGCTTAAACGAGCCACCTTGGTTGGTTTGATTGCAAATAGAAGCATTTTATAAATAGAGCCTTGATCGGGGTTGTGTGCAAAGTGAAATGGCAGGAGAGGATAATCCCTCGACAATGGGCTACCTGGCACGATTTTGCAGGCTTAATTGAGTGCGTGCTTTTCGCACACACCCTGGCAAAAGCTCTGCCTTAGGTCTTACACTGGATTGTTTAACTTCATGTGTTTTTATTCCCATCATCCCACAACTGGCTTAGCCCTATTAAACATTATAAGCAGTACGTTCATTTACTTCTAAGGATGTTAGTTGATAAAGTTTCTTTATTAGAACCAAGCAAAGTTCCACAAAACTGTGCAAGCTTTTGAATTCTACAGAACTCCATCAGGCTACATGGTGCAAAGAGGGATATAAGAAGAATAGTAAAGCCCAAAGATTGTGACAAGATGTTTCATGGAGCTGTGAGAGCAGCATTATTAAATCCACTCTCAAAATGGAGATTTGCAAACTGAAGGAATTAGTCATGGATAACTATAGCGAGACTTGAATTGCCTTCCGATTCATGCAAATACGATCACGGCTACTTTGATTTCCCCTGAAGAGGTGTGTGTTTTCCCTGCTGCCCAGCCAGCTAATGCTGAGCCAAAATAGGTTTTCGAATGCCTGAAAGTTTTCTTTCCCTATGAAAGAGGCTTCCATTGTTCTGCCTCATTCTGAGGATTTTGTACAATTTATTCCTTCAGTATTTTTGAGTTTACCGAATCCATGTGAGGCAGCCAAGGCTGCTCTATGTGTTTTCATTACACAACTCTTCATTGTTTTGCTGCCTGCACCTCGCAGTCTGAAAGGAGCTTTATGGGAGGAATTAACTGAGCTTTAATCGAAGTGTGGAAAGCTAAACAATCTACAGGCTTCTAGAGAGATGATTGTACACAGGAAAGTGATAGGTAGCGAGCTGCATACAGCAGTGCCTGATACCATGGAAATATGCAAGGACTCTTACCTTTCCTGCTCCCTTGTTCATCCCCATCAATTTGAGCTCCTTGCTAAGGAGCTAGCATGGACCACTAGCAAGGATCTAATACTTCTTATGGTCTTGTAGGTGCCGGGAATATCCCCCCCCCCCCGCCTTCCTTAGTCGTGCAGAATTTTGCCTGGCAGATCCGGACCGGCAGTCAGTCCCTCCTTGCATGATTGTACAAGCCAATATTCTATTGAACCAGGTGGCAATTATAAATCCTAAATATATAAATACATAAGTTAGCTTATTTGAGCTACAGAGGCATATAAAAATAAAATGGATGGCTTGTTTCTAATCAAGTTTCAAAGTTAGGCTTGCAATCAATAGCTCAGATTATGTAGTTAAGTCATTCTGCATGACTGAGAGGAGAGAAAGTAGAATGAGTTGTGTAATCATCAATATTCCAGGGACTTGTGTAATTAAAATTATCTCACATCATGTGAAATGAGATCACTCCGTGTTTGGTGAAGCATTGCTCCACTGACCAATAGGAAGATGGACAATTTAGAACAGATGGTAAAAGAATATAATACCCACAGCTGCAGTCAGGCATGTTACCAATGAAGAGAGAGCTGGTTATTGGGGTAGGAAAGTGAAATACTTTCGGTTCTAAGCTAAATGGATGTCAGTTCCAACACTGTGGTTGTTACAGGTAAGACTTTTACATACGAAAATGTCCGCTTTCAGGCATGGCATGTTCGTATCTTGGCCTATTCTCCAGCATAAAATCTTCAAGGCAAAGGGGAACCTAGCATCTTACCATTAGACATAGCACTTCCTGATGGAAAATAACTAACTACTGCAATTTGCTTTCAAAAATAAGCATGATATGTTAGCAGGGTAAAAAAGAGAAGAAGAACAGTTTATTCACAGTTTGTAGTTTATTCCTGTTACTTCTGAAAATATCTGTTGACATCTTTTCCTGTCCGACCTATGTAGCCTCTAGGTAAAACTAGTTAAGCATTACCTTAAAAGGACCACAGAGCAAGACTGCTTCCCAATTCCACATTGGGGTCCAAAATTAGAGCAATCACATGTCAAATTTCAGTTTCTCGGTGCCAAACCAAGAAAGGGAGATAAAAATCAGAGGAAACCACACAGATTTCTCATGTCAAAAACAGGCTGCTTGTTACATAAACTGGGGTGCTGAGGAAGCATGCTTGAATATACCAGTTGCCAGATTTGGAGATTTCCATGCCAGTCATAGTTGATGCTGAATCCCAGTTTTAGAACGAGCTGGTTAGAGAGGGAGAGCTTTAAAAGGCTGAGACTCTCCTGGAATGCTGCCGCGTGCTCTTGCCCTCTCTTAGGCCGCTGGCTGCTGTAAAGGCAATAATTACGTAGAAGCTGGACATGTGAGTTACTGGATAGTTTTCCACTATAAGCCAGCTAAGGTCACTGGATTGAGTTTGAAGTAACATCAAAGAGAACGTGAATCTTGCCACTTTCAATTAACACACAATTTTAGATCCTTGTGTTTGTTAGAAGACATGTAAGACAGGCAGAACCAGTTCGGATGGCTCCAAACATAACTTTGGCTGGTTAAGATGGGGAAGGAAGAGAATCAGAGAAGTTGCTTGGCTTCCCATAAAGCGACTAATCTGACCTTTAACAACAATAATCAGCGACAGACTCAGCCCAAAACAGTCTTCCCTCTTCACCCTACTTAATGGACCCTGAACAGGCACCCCCAACTCAGTGTAGATTATGTAAATGTATTTTATTTATAAAATGGAGATCTAGGACTATTTTATCTCTGTAGTGCTCAATAGCTGGAGCACTCTGGGAGATTTATAGCACCAGCTTTCCTAGGGTGGAGTGAAGCAGAACTATATTTATACAGGACTTCTAATTAGTTTTGCAAACGCTGCTGGTGTCTCTTTTACCATAATACTTCAGGTAGGGCTGGTAGGCCAGAATCAAGAGAGCTGCACTTTAAGTTCCATCCATCCCAAGCACTCGCAGTGTATCTTTCTCAAACAGACTCCATACCGCATACCAGGGCTGCTTTTGAAGCAGACAACACTCGTAAAAGCGATTTGCATGGTGTTCTGGCATTCAGAACAGGAAGACCAGCGCTGTGCTCAGCCAACCTTTTGGGGGTGCTCCTTCTGTTCTGGCTGCTTTGGGAAGCAAAGTTGATCTAAATGGAATTGCTTAAGGCTACGCAAAGACAGCAACCCCATCCCAGTGTAACGCTCCTCTGCAGGACAATATCCATTCTCCACACTGTACTCTGTGGCTATGAAACCTGTCCTTAGACGGTGGGCTTTTTCACCAATCTAGTGCCTTTCGCGCATTTTAGATTACAGTTCTCAGCAGCCTGAACTAGCATGACCTGTCAGGGGCAGTATTTGTCTAAAACGTCTGGGGGCATCAGGTTGGGGAAGGCGGGATCCCACACCTTTCCACTGTGCTCACCTGGACTAACGTTATCCCTGTGATTCAGTAGGGCATGTGCAAAAGCAAGTCCAAGAATGCAGGCCTTATGCATGGTTATTGGAATTACTGCTTAGCGTTGGAAAATACCTCCTCCCTACTCCCTGTTTTCCATTCCAGCGTGCTTGGATAAGACCTCAGAAGCACCACTGAACCGGTTGCAAAACAGTATAAATCAGTGTGGCGATTTCTTTGAGTTGGGAGAGAAGCATCTGCCCATGTGAAAAGCTGAATCCAAACAGAAAGTTCCCTGCCTTCCCTCCCTTTCAGAAAAGATTCCGGCGCCACCCTCAGGGTGGTTCCCAGGGCTTCAGGCTAGGCGGAAGATCAGGCCTGTCTTAACAGGTCCACTCATCTCTCCTGTCCTCCCCTGGCCAGGTTAAGTTACTCCCAATCTCTTTGCCTGCCAGTTCTGAAATGCCTCCCTCCTTTTCCGAGGCTGGTCCTTGCGCGCTCTGGGGGAATCCTCACGAAGCCTTCCTGGAGCTGCAGAGCCACCTCTGGCTCTGTCCCTGAGCATCACTGACCAGACTGCAGCGTGCCAGAGCTGGGCATCTTGAAATTACAAACCGAGAACACTTTGTATTGCCGTTGTTTCTAATTTGATCTACACGGGGCTTATTGTCGAAAATCATTTAATTTATATGATGAAATTTCTTTCTGTGAAATGAGTGTCTAGACGAGGCTGCGTGTTACTACATGGGCTTTTAAGATGCAGTTTTGCAAGTGTTTGAAGTAGTCCTCAAGCCAAAGGCAACTTGTAGTCCCAGTCTGGCACCCTCCAGATTCACGGAAGACCAACTCCTCTCTCCAATTTTATGATCCTCTCTACAGGAATCTTGCATTATTCTATATTGTAGGAAGGCAGAATAAAGTGAGTGATTTAGTGATGGATAACTTCACTAACCTCGTTAACAACATTTTAACCTGGTTAGCAAGCATTGAAACTAATTATACCAACTTTGTACGTGCATAAAAGTTATAATTCTGGTGTTGACTGCAGGTGATGTTGCAGGAGTCAGAGGCAATCTTGGAGAAAGCTTTCTTTCTAAGCTAGCAATGGGGAAACTGGCCTCCCAGATGTTGTTGGAGTCCAGTTTCCATCAGTCCTAGCCAGCATAGCTGATGGGCCGGGTTTACGGGAGCTGTGCTCCAACAATCATCGGAGAGCCACAAATTCCTCCCCTCCTGTCCTAGACAGAGGAGGTGGTGCTTCTCAAGGTGAGATTTTGTAAGTATTGGTATTGCCTGGTGGCTAGCGATTTGAGGAAAAGTTCTTGCTTTTCAGTCAGAAATCCCACCCTGCCCCTTCTGCACAGGTTGCCCGTAAGCCTCAGGAGAGACGAAAACTCAAGAGTTTGAAGAGATTGTAAATGTAATCATACTTTTTAATTTGTGTGCAGGATTTGGTCCCTTTCGACAGCATCTAGTGAATTCCAGCTGGGAAGCAACAAAAGTAAGGAAGCTTTTCTACTGATGTCTAAAAATTAACTGCTTGGGTGGGGAGTTTAGAATTTAATCAAGTATTAAACAAGCAGTAAGCAGTTCTCAGTTACATAATTATACATGCAGATAATTACTAGGAGATGACAGGTAAGTACATTGCAGAGCTGCATGGATAGTTATCCCAGACTTAAATGTGTTTCAAATGTAGCAAAATGGAAGGAAATTGCTTTTAATGTAATTTAGAACTTTGGTATGTTTAATTGTGGGCTCTTTTAACTCATCTTACATAATTTGCTGATATCACAGAAGCTTGACAAAAAATCTACAAATATCCCCAGACAAAAACACCTTTTGTGTCTTCATTTGTGTGTGAGGCTGCCTCTTGAGCTTGCTGCACGTAAAATGCATTTTCTTCTGGTCAGATGGGCTCCACTCTTGCTTTAACTATAGGACAAATTCATTTCAGCATGAACAGCCAAAAGGGGGTTGTTTTGCCATCCATTATTCTTGGCTTTGGCTTCCTGCACGGAAGGGTGGGATAACTGGTCAGCTGACCATTGTCTGACCAGTCACAGGAGAGAGTCTCATTCAATACAGAAAATAGAACGTGTGTGAGAAAATGAAATGCTAATTGTACGCTGGCATAGATTGTCCTTCTGGAAAAACGGACACACAACACTGCATTCTTATGCTAGATGATGCAATCGCCTCTCCAAGACCATTTGTGGCACAGAAAAAACACAGTTGGCAGTGTTCCCCTAATGTGTTTACCTCACCTACAAGAATTGTTTGCTTGTTTGTGTCAAACAGTTTATTGAGCACAGCTAATCAATGTTTCCGCTGACAAGGAAATTGTAACAGTTTCCCCAGGAAGCCCAGCCTTCAAGAATAAGTTTGCCCAGTCACACACAGCATCAGGGAAATAGACATTTGTGGCAGCTTCAGTGGCAGCCCGGACTGTTCCGTGCAGGACCATTAGCTGGACACTGGGAGGCTTCCCAGCAACTCTCAGCCATCTGGGCTTGAGCGTGACATTGGTGGGAAGTGTCTTGGCTAAAGCCCTTGGGGCAGAGCCTTTCTCTCCAAATATAGGTTGACAAAGTGTTTAGCCCCCGATATCTAATTGGAAATAATGTATACATTGAAGCCACTCTGACTACCATTTACTTGATAGAAATATACAAATCAAGTCAATTAAAGTACACAAGCACAGCTTGGTAGTCTATTGCTAATCATCAATAGTAACATGGACCATCTCCTCCATCCTTGACATGCTCATAAGTGCTGGATTTTGTAGATTTTCACTGCAATGAGTCCAGCATTTTTTATTCTCTCTCCTGCCCATCACAGAAGCTTTTTGACCTTGGCCTTGGCCACGATGTAGACCTGCACATCATCGAACTGCCGGTGGCTTATCGAAAAGCAAAAGAGCTTGTATGTAAAGCGTGGTCCACCTTCCAGCCCCAGGTAAGTGACAGAAAAACTAGAGGGCTTTATGTGGAATTCAGTCACACTAAAGCACAGGTGAGGAATACAGTTTGCAAATCCAGGGTGGTGAGCTTCTGGGACAGCCGATATAGCCTGACTGCTCAAGCAGTTTCGTCTCCCTCGCACCATGTATCAGCTGGGCCTGAACAAGTCCTCTCTGGGGAAGAGCTGGGCGGATGACACCAGGAGTGCCTACGCCAGGCTCCTTTACCTCCTTCCTGCCCAGGTACTATGTAAAGTGCGGCCCAGACGATGGCACCTGCTGAAGGGGAGGAGCACAGGGGGAGGCAGAGAGCCAGCGGGAGGCAGATGTGGCTGCAGTGGCACCTGGAAGGAGTGCGGAATGGTTTAGATCTGGTCTGGGCCTTGTGCCAGCGTTACCATGTGCCCGTGCCCCTGTGGAGTGAATATTTTGTCTGGCTTTTGGCAGTGGGTGCTCTTGAGTGAGAGCAGGGGGCTCCTGAGGGGGCAGGGCGACGTCTTAGCCTTGGCTCTGGGGAGAGCCGAGTTTGATGGACAGCAGCCATGCTGGAGGCTTGGCTGCTTTCCCTGAAGGCACACCTTAAGACGGTGGCCTTAACTGCAGGAATGGTTGGGCTAATGGTCCCTGAGGGCGGGCAGTGTGAGGATTGTTTGATGTGGCATTGTTGGGATGGGTCTGGTCAGGAGGGACAGAGCACGGAGAGCGTTAGAGGTGGGATGGGGGCGGGAGCAGAGGGGAACGGGCACTCCAGTGGAGTACGTCTCTTAATTTGCGGGTCCCCAGTGGCGTGGCTACTGGACCTTGGTGCCTGGTGCTGCTTCTAAGTCTCTCACTCATCCATGATCTGATCTGGGGACAAGAGTGCTGATCTGGGATGCCACCAAGTGGACTCACTGTGCTCTAGAAGAATACCGTCTTTCTCACCGGGACCAGGGCAGGCTATAGGGCCTATGCCCTGGGAAAGGGCAGTGAGAAGGACTGCGGATTTTGTTGATTTCCCCCTGCTCTCCAGCATCCTTCCGACCGAACTAGCTAAGATAGTCTTGAAAGCAGTGCGGGAGAAATCCAGGAGATACAGCATTCGCACCAAGATAGCCTTGACTGGGCTGGCCTGGGATTTTATGGCCTCCGTGGCAGGCTTGGAGCTGCCCCCGCCTGGTTATTGGCCCAGTGACTAGGCAGAGCCTAATCTCAGTTTCATCCTTGGCTCTGGATATGAGGGGGGTGGTCCAGATCTTGAGCAGGCAGGGTGGAAATCGCTCCATTGCCTCGGCTAGACCACGATCTAGTGAGATTAGTCTCCCCTGCTGCGGTGGGGAACACATGAAGATGGTCCACTCCTGGAACCATTTGGGATCCAATGGATTCTCAAATGCATTGAGGGAATTCCCAGGTGTCCCGTCAAGCTTCTTGCCTCCCTATGGCCTGGTGAAACATGAGCTGTTGACAGAGTTGCTCTGGGGCAGCAGAGTCCGAGTGATCCCTGAACCTCTGGTGAGCTCTGGGCAAGAAAATGGGCTGAGAGCCAGTGGCATGTAAGCCATTGTACAACCAGCTGAATATGCACGAGGGCACACCAGTGGTGTGCTACTGTGCGGTAGTCGGGTGGCAAAGAAGACCTGCTTTGCTGCCTCCACCACACCCTCAAGTCGCTGTCCAGTAGTTGTCACCTTCTGCAGCAAAGTCCTTGCTGAAGCCCTTGAAGGTCTGCCATGGTAATTGTGTGAGGCACTTCCAGGAGAAAATCACCTGGCTTTGCTGCTTGAACCTGCTGAAGTGTCCCGTGCATTTCACTGCTTGGTTCCTCTGCACGGAGTCCATTTCAGCTTGCTGAGGGCAGATTGTGGAAACAAGATGTAGTTTACTTGTTCTCTTCCCCCTCCTGGCTCGCCTCTTCAGCTAAGAACACATCGGACAATCTGCTCATGGCATAATTTCAAAACGTGTGCATTGAAAGCCCACTGAATTGAAATAAATCATTCTGAATTGGCAGGAAGATGTTTGATGAAACTTCAGGAAAGTGAGGAAATGGCAGGTGCTATTTTTATGACAACAGAACTTTGGTAAAACAGTCTTAAAGTATGTATAGGTTGACTGTTTGACAAGTGTTTGTGTTTTGCTTATTTCCAAAATGAACCAGCTCATGCTGTGATAAAAAAAACAGTGTACTCACTGTGGTGAAGTGTCTGTATACAGGATTGCTCTCACAGCAGACTTTTTCTCTTTGGACTAGGTTCTTTACTCACATTTCACATGATAGGTGGGCATAGAGCAGGAGGAACTTTAGATTTTAAACAATGAAATCAGGTCTTTAACATTTTGTCCCCTTTCTCATTGGTCATCCAACAGCTCATGGTTCACACTGGGCTGGCTTCTACCTCAAAACCAACTATAATTCTGGAGCAGTGTGGAAAGAACAAAGGCTATAACGAAATGGATGTTTGTGGGTTTTGTCCAGAAGATGGTTGTTGTTTCTTAGAAGGCCCGGAAAAACTAGAGTCTACAATTAATATGAAAAAAGTCTGGAAAAATGTTCAGGTAGAAGGGATAGATGTCATTTTTTCCAGAGATGCAGGAAGGTAAGTATTTTGTGCAACGAGACAACATAATAGGTTGTGGAAGATTTAATTAAAAAATCAGGAAATTTTCTCTGAAGGATGACAGTTGCTCCAAAACAAAATGGTTTTAAGAATTGAAATGTTCTGAGAAAGCAGACGAGCTGGAAGGCTTAATATGAGCCATGCTATCTAACCTGTGAAAGCTGAAGGACAGGTTTAACCGTCAACTGTGGGGTTTTGAGTGGAGAACTCACACATGCGGGTTATACCCTGCACAGAACAGTCATTTGGAAAATTTTAGAGCTAAGCAGATTTTAGGCGGGAGATTCCTCTGCTCCCACTCTAGGTGTGGCTTTTGCCCATATCCCTTGCAGCAGGGGAGTAAAGGCGAAGCGTCCAGGTGGGGAGGAGGCCAGGTTGTACGAGGTCACAGGTGGCCACTCCAAGAAACAAGTACTGGTAAGTAACCTGGTTTCTTGCAGTCTCTCTTACATGCAGGACATTTGGGCCTTGAGGGTGGATGAATAAACAGGACCAAGTGCTCTAAGCCGCCATGGAGCCCTCTGCTCAGTGGGTTGTTGGGTACTTTCTCTGCCCGACACCTTTAGTCGTGACCAGTAGCACCAAAGATTCCTTCCAAGCTGTCACTTGAAGAGCGCAGCCAAAGGTGTGGGCACTGCGAGGCCTGGTTCTTGGGTTACCAGTGGTGGCAGCCCTGGCGTGCAGCCCATCAGGCTGTGCTGGAAGAAGCTGAGAAAGCATCACGGCCGGTTTTGCAGAGGCTGTTTCGTGCAGCTGCATCGACTGTCCTGAGGTCTGGTTTGCATGACGGGGCGTGGCGGCATGCCGTTGTTTCGTCTGTCCAGTTTTGTAAATGCTTGATGGCGAGTTCAGGAATACACCATGCGTATCTCTGAGAAGCAGAGGAGGCAGCCGGAGTAGCAGTGCAAGCTTGGGAGGCTGCTTTGTAAGGGCTCAGAAGGAGCAGTGAAGAAAATCTTGGGCAAGATCTGAAAGGAAGAAAATGGGAGAGAGAAAGGAACTATGTCTTGGGAAGAGACAGGAGTTGTTTTAGAGATTTTTCCCCCAAAAGAGATGAGAAAATGTTCCAAATGTTAGTTGCTGCAGCAGGTTAGGAAGTGCACTTTTGGTAGAGCTCGTGACTAAAATTTGGTTTAGTTCTGGAATATTCCAAGTGGATATTCTGCACAGGTTTGTAACTCGCATGTGTCACAAAAACCACTGAAGAAAATGTCTTTCATCTTCAGATTAGTTGATACCATAATATTTAGTTAAGGTCAGTGACGTGTCTGAGTTATACACAAGTAAACAATGAAGTGGTGAGGTATTTTTTTCCTGGCCTCCTTTGGCGTGGCATAAGGAATTCAGAAAACTTTACTGTTTCCTCGTGCCCATGCTGGGACAAAGGGAAGAGAGGAGCACATGAGTTGGTGTTTACGCTGGCCGGTCCTTGCAAAACAACCGTGCTTAGGCGTTAGCTGTGACTGGGGCCATTCCGTGATCCAAGACTTCAGGCTTCTGTCTCTTTTGAAGCAGAGGGCCCCAGTTAAGGCTGCCACTGGGGAGTACAGAAAAGAAATGAATAATGAAGTGTATGCAAGCTACTGGGTTTGTCCAAATTCATTCTTAGGTTCCCAAACGTTAACCTAACATTTGACCTCAGGCATGTGGCAGATCTCAAGGTAATGTTTTCATCCTTGCATGCACTGAGGCGTTGCTCCTGCAAAGATGTTCCATCAGGGCCAGTCGCAGGAGAAGATCTGCATGCAGAAAGCAATGCATATTTTATTTTGCATCGGGTTTGATTGGATGGCCTTATTGGCCATTCTAGTTATACCATTCTATGATTTCTCCAACTGACAAGAACAGAGAGCAGAGCTCTCATGAATGAACACTTAATTGAGGCTACCAATTCTGAAACTGTTTTTCCTATGTCATTTGTTCATGCAAAACAATGACATGCATGTCAATACTGCAGGATTCCCAGATCCATAGGGATAGGCTCCGAGACCCCAACAGCAGATGCCTGACACCCCAGAAAGTAGCATTTGTGGGAGCTGGGGGCACAGAACACCTGCAAATGTGGAAGAGCTGTGAATATCTCTGAACGGCTTTGTGCCCACCGAGTGACAAAACAAGTGAGACTGGCTAGTACGGAGGCAGAGTGTGGCATCCCCAAACAGTGCAGAGCTCCCTAGAGAGAGGTGCAGTTCTTTCCACTTTCACAGGGGTCCTGCGCCCCAACTCCAGCAAATGTGGAGGGCCGACTGTCAGCCTTGGTGAAGTGAAACCGTGGTAATGGACGGTGGATAGATACCCTGCTGTATCCTGGTGACTCAATGCACTGAGATGGTGTTAAGCTTTTGGTAGCCTTACTATTTCTGATGCAATGTCTTCAAGAAAGTCATTACTACCAAGATGGTGCTAGCAGCTAGCATGTATTATTAAACCTTAAATATATCCTTTTCCCACATTGTAGGTACATCTGCGATTATACCTATTACATTTCACTTTACTATGGTAACGGAAGAGCAGCGTTCATCCACGTGCCTCTTCTATCCAAGTGGGTAACAGCAGAACTTCTAGGAAGAGCACTGCAGAGCATCATCTTGGAGATGTTAAAGCAATGCAAACAAGGAAAAATATAAACCCAAAATTAGAAGTCTTACACGAGACATTCGTTTTTGTCCACGAGTCACGGGAACATTACCGCCAGCCACAGCTTCACACTGAAATCACTGCAGCCCCTCGTGATCTGGCGATCAAGTGTGTGTGCACTGCCCCACGTGGTTCTGCATGCACTGAGGAAGGGCATGGAAAGCAGAAAATCAAAGGCGCTTCGCGTGTGTATCAGAGGCTGTAGTAAGAGTTTGCTAGGTGGGGAGGCATCACCTTCCCCCCCCCCCCCCCGTATAGGTGTGTGCATCTCTGTGTGTATTTGTGTGTGCGTGCGTGCATACACACAAGTGTGAACAGTTATGGAAACAGAAACAAAGCTAAAGGGGACCTTTGTAAAGCAAGCTTCCCTACTCTAGTTTCATGGAGAAAATGTTAATGATTGCTGCAGATCTGGAATGATCCAGATGGAGAACCAGAAAACGGATGGAAAAGAAAAATGTTTTCCTGTTCTGATCTCAGTGTACTTTAGAAGTGTCTTACTGAATAAACGGCAACACAGTAGGCACAAATGCATACAGAATCCTTTTTATTTAACTTAATCATGTAGTACTGTAACTACTAGAAAAAAGCAGAGTAAGAGAAACTAAAAGAGCCTTAGCTTCAGCCATTCAAAATAGACAAAGGTTCTTTTTTCATAATGTAAAGAATCCAGAGTATATCGCAACAGGAATAAATTCTTACAACAGAATATACAAAAACATTTTGAATTTTTTTCATCATCTACTAATTCATTTTAATATAAACACAGGAATTTCTTTAGGAATAATTTATACACAGCAAGTCTTTATGTAATAAATTGGCCATGTTATTACTGTTTTATTTTTTTATTTTTTAAAAAAACTTACTTTAAACAAGCTAACTTGGAAAATGTTGTGTTTGCAAATGCATTCAGTTCCATAGCACTTTCTAGTTATTGTGGTTTTTGATTTTAACTGTTTTTGTCCCAGAGGTAGAAGATCTCTGGCCAGTCCTTTCTTCTCAAACCTCACTGATTCAGAAAACAGAAAAAAAAAAAAAGATTCTCAAAATGGCAACAAAACCACACAAAATCCTTCAGGGTAACAAGGGGAAGCCTTTTTAATTTGATGAAAGAAATAGGATCTTCGGTATTCTAATTTAAATAATTATAATAAATAGGGACCTTTGTTGGTCATTTAAAACAAAGCTTTAATGTTGCTAAATATCTACATAAATTGCATAGGCTGCGTTCTAAATCACCTTTTAATAGAAGCGATAAGCTATCCGTAAACACAGTTGTCTGTCATTCAGTGATAAGCACTGAAAACAGCCTTTCATTATGCCACCTACTATGCAGTCAAATCCTTCAATCAACCTAGGCAACAATGATGCAGGAACTTAAATAATGCAAACAGAATTACAACCCCAAACACATTTTCTTGAAGTAAGCTTCATTGATTTCAGTGTCATTTACTCCCAAGAAAATGCACTTAGATCTGTTGCTAAAGACCACTTAGCAGCAATACTTGTTCTGTTTCCTTAACCAGTGAGGTTTTCCCCAACTTGCACCCACACAGTAAAACTGAAATGACCAGTTGAGAACGACAATCCCACCCCTCCGTAGGACTCTGGAAGACCAGGCTACTGAAGATACAGAACATATTCTGGGTTTACTGTGGACTCGGGGCAATAGATGAGCCATGATTTAGAAGTTGGTACGGCATCCTTTTTGGCATAATGTAAAGCTAATTCATAAAACCAGTACCCTAAAAAGAAAAGAAACCTTCGACACACATCCACACACAGTAAAAAGTGCCCTTAAATTATCTTTAGGCATTTAATAAACTACAAACATCTTTATAAAAATTATTCTATGTACTTACAAAATGCAATGAGACATGTAATTAGTTTTGGTAAACCAGATCTTTGTCAACTGACTACCCGTAATCTACTGGACTTAACAGCCCTATGGAAAATGCTAATGGATTGCTAGTTAACAAAACAGATACAAAATTAAATGATAATCATACACATGTACACACTCATTCCACATGCACACCTAATGAAAGCCATCTGGAACTTGTGCAACACTTAATAACAGCCAGGTAACCCAGTCCAGCAATCCCTTCCAAATGCTCCAACACATACACAAAGCTCACTGCCCCAGCAAGGATTTCCTCATTTACTCCAATGGAGCTGTCATCTATTAGGATGAATGGAGAAGCTCGTGTGTGCAGGGTCTCCATGTACACATGGGGCTCTGGATCAGGGTAAACATGGTATAATGAGAAATAGCCTACTGAAGTCCTACTTCGCACACTTGACTCCACAGTAAAGATGCTGAGACTGAAGTTCAGCTCCACAAGCTCGAAATAATTCCTTGTGAAATTCGAAGCACCGATGTTGCCATGCTTGTAAGCCACCCTGAACGTCAAGTCAAATTGTGTCTTTGTAGATCAGTGCTCCTGCCCCACAACTGCTTTTGCCCTGCACTGCATATTTTCTTCAGTTTGGATGGACATCATGGTTCTTAAAACCTACTAAAAGAAATTTAAGTGCCTCAACTCAGAACCAACTGGACTTCCGAACCGAGATGCCAACCTAACAGCCTACTGAGTATAACCCTTGCGTTCTGTATCTTCAGCACCTCCAACAAAAAGTGTTCAACCTGTATGAGCATGCTCTCATTTTAGTTTGTGCCAACTATTTATTCATTTAAAAACAAAAAGAATGGAATTGCAATGTCTAGCATTCCATCACTGGGATACTCAACCATGGGAGGAGTCGACTATTCTAACCGATCACTCCTTGTTCACCAGTGATAGAATACACAGCTGACAAACAAAAAAGAGAGTAACAAGAAAGTGTTACTGACTACTGGAATGGAAAGATTTTTTTAAAAATATAACTATATAGAACATTATACCAACAACAGGAGTGTCATTCATACAGCCACGGATTGTGTGAAACAATCCTCAGCAGTTCCCAGAGATCTAAACAGCAGTTCCATCTTATGACCAGTCCTGGGATAACTGGTTGTTTATCTTTTGTATCAACAGGAGCATCAGTGCTAACAGATTTTGACAGTTTAAACTTTACTGGAAACCCTATTCTCAAAGAACAGAAGTACTGTGCACTGGAAGCAGCCTAGCTCTTCTCTCGTGTTCTGCTTTCATGTCTAGCTGTTGTCTGAACAAGCTTGGTTACAAAGTCAGATGTTTAGCATGCAATACTTCCGCACTGATAGAAGGTACCCTCCTCTGAAGCCAAACCACCTTCTGCACACCACTGAAAGAACTCAGTGACAGATCGCTCTGCCTGAACAACTTTTGGGGGGAATAGGGTGCATCTGAAAACATTAATTCAAAAAAGCCATGGAGTTCTAGGACTGACTGCTAAATGAGAAGTTAACAAATCAGACAGTGAGGGTTCTTTTAAAACTAAAAACGTGAAGTTGCTTATCCGAATGAACGTATCCAAGTTGTCATTAAAATTAGTCTCTGTCCTGGAGTGTTAGAAGGTAACCAGCCTACCAACTATTTTTTAAAAAGGAAGCCAGTTATCTGGTAAATTATACATCCTTCTGCCCCAGTAAAATTCATGTCAGGAGTTGAAGAATGATTTAATAGAAGCTGCAAAGAATGGCTTTTGCAGAGAAGTCCTGCCTCACCGACATTCTTTGAGAATTTCATCAACCTGTAGTTGTGGATAAATTCAAACTTATGACAAATTCTTTCAGAGGCTCCTGAGTAAACGTAGCAGCCATGGAATAAGAGGCAAGATCCTCTTATAGACTGTTGATGTGTTAAAGAATAGAAAGCAGGGCACAAGGAAGGAAGGTCAATTTCCCCAATGGACCGTGACGTCAGTCCTCCCACAGGTCTGCATAGCTGCTACTTAATCAAAGATCTGGAGTCAAGGTAAATAGTGAGGTAGCCAGGTTTGTTGACTGACACCAAGTTTTTCAAAATGGTGAATACTTTTGCTGACTACAAAGAGCTCCCAAACAAATGTCTCCAAACCTGGTATAGAGATAACAAAATGGCAACTGTGATTCGATATAAAATGGTGCACACTCTGATAAAAAAATCCTGAATATATGTATAAGTTGATGCAATCTTAACTCTCTGTGGTTTTCAAGAGTAGATCTTGGGGCTTGTGGTGGCCAGCCATTTGCTGTACCCATCAAAGAAGCAAATTCAGTACTATGGATTATTTGGAAAGGAGATGCCTATATCACAGCAAATACCATTCGGCTTTGTTATACATCTAAGGGGAAAGTGCACTTGAAATAATGCGTACAATTTTGGTCACCCCATCTTAACGATGTATGTCACCATACATTGTGAAATGTGTGGTGCCAAAGTAGGCGACCCAAATGATCAGGGGTTGCAGCATCGTCCCCTGAGGGAAAGCTGTAGCTAAGCTTCTGTTTAGCCTAAAAACATGGGATAAGGAGGGCGACAACAGGTTTTAAAAACACGAATACGGGAAGTTCTCCATCTTCTGCTGCCAGATCTCTGGGTCACCCAATGAAATTGGTAGTAGATTCTGGACATGCACGAAATACCAAATTCAGTGACAAGGTGTGAGGACTATCACTGGCTTGCATGGCTTTAAAGGGGGACTAGATGCGTGTAGGGAGGGCAGTTCTGTCAAGCTGTGGCCATAACAGTTCAACAGAACCTCTTGGTATCACTTGTCTTTATGGAAAACCACTCAGCGCGCTAGGACTGGAAGCGAGCAGCTCAGCTGGACAGGGCTCTTGTCCAACCCAGCGAGTTATGCTCATGTTCTCAACAAAATATGTAATGAATCAGTTAAGCCGATATACTTCTCTACCGGATAGTTGCATCTGATGAATGAAGGAGCCAAGATCATCTAAGTTTCTTATTAAGAACATGAGTGGGTATGTATGACCTTAATTCAGGCCCATCCAAATCTAAAATAAATTGTCCATCCCACGCAAGGCAATAACCTTGCAGGAAAAGCCACCCTTGTGCCCACATCACGCCAACATTGAGTTTTTGACATGCATCAACAGTAAGGTTTACTATCAAAAGGACTGTGTAGGAAAAGCCAGGTAGATATTAAATTCTGGGACATACAGACACACCATTCCAATACAAAAAAGAGCTGGGAAACCAAAATGGATTTCTAAAAACCTTGTGAGTGCAGAAGACAATGGTGGAGTCAAGGTGGTTTGATTCAGACGGGCCGACTTGCACTTGAGTCACACGACTGCCCTACACTCGAATGCTTCTGAAATGTGTGTTCAGACGGGCACTATCACGTTAGTGTTCTCTCCTAATACTTTTAAACCACCTACGTACAATTAAAAATAATAACTTGGACAGTTTTAAAACAAAACCCTTTTAGCCAGCTGAAAGATCTGAGGATCCATACAGTTATGAAGAGTACTATGTGCAAGAGAGGAGAGGCACACTGCAAAACCAAAAAGACCACCAAGAAGAAAGTCAGAATCAAAGATATTAACAATGGAGGAGCTCAGCAAATGAGGCAATCCCCTCTCGACAACATCCACCCACACCCCAGAATTAAACACGGGGGCTAGACAATCACGCGCTCTCAAACTAGCCAGGTCACATTCAGATGCCATTAAGGAATACCTGCAGATTTGGGACTGCAGGCCAAGCCAGGGAAGCAGAATGTTCTTCTCTAGTGGTGAATCACTTGTTAGTTTCTGAATTTGTACAACTGTTACAATTTTAATTGGCTGATTAGAATCTACAAAAGCTTTTGACAAAGCCCTTCATTAAAAGCTGTGGTTCCAAACCTAATTTGGAGGCATGGAAAAGGTCTTCCAGACTACCGGCACACTAGATTATCGGTGCAGAATAAAACACGTGCAGGTGTTCAGGCTAAACAGGAGCACCTCGTCCCCAATTGGCACAAGTGATTCTGCGAAGAGCAGGCTCCTGCTTTTAAGGGGATCCCATCTCATTGTTTGATCCTGATCTCGCCAAAGAGCCAAACCTTCCACACTTCTGCATTAGCAATTATTCTAACAGCCCTTTGAGAATTTGGGGCATCTGAAGAACAGATCTGCTTGGCCCCTTTTCCTTATTTAGCAGTGACCACCCAAATGTAGTTGCTGGCTAGCAGATGACCATTACTGGAACGTTTTGTCAGCCTCGGCAGGCAGCTGGCTCTCCCTTTGGAGGGCCCGGCTCTGCCATTCCCCTCTTCCCACGCCTGTTCATTGCAACAAGACTTGGAGCAGCTTTCAATTTTAGTGTCAACTGGCCGCTGACAGCTACTTGCAACTCCATCCAGAGAAAGTACACTGTTGTGTTTAAAAGCAGCACCCACCAACTCTTTCAAGTGACCTTTTTGATTTGGCAGTGGCCTCCCTTCTCCAAAACCGGGGTGAGTGTGGTTTGTGCAATGAATGAGGTTACCGGTATTCAACAGTATATTGTCGGCTGCTGAGAAATGTGAGATGTATATTTTTATATATACACACAAAAATAAAAGTGAGGTAGATACATGTTTGAAAAAAATAAAATAAAAACTGTCCCCTGTCATAACTTGAAAACCCTTATCTCAGTATTTAAAATTTATTATGGGGCATCTCTACAGTGATTTAAACTGATAGCACAAAAATAAATAAAAATCCTACATAGAATACCTTTTTTTCCTTTTTCTAAAAAGGGAAAAATAACTAACTATGGGAGAGGTGAAAAGAAGTTGGTAGGACTGAAGCTACAAAAGCGAGAGAAAAAAGCACTACAAACATATCTTTATCTCCAGTCACATCTAGCAGTTATATTCTTTGTTCTTACTCAACCCTCCCCCCCCCCCCCCCCACAACAAAAACATGAGTAAATTCAACCTTCCATCCCAGAACAACCCTTCTTGTCACTGCCAGGCTTTGGTCAGATCAGTGCTAATATATAACTTCAATGCAATTAACTACAGGTGAATTAACAACTGTTAAGGCACCCTGATTTTGGAAACTGGGGGAGGGTCCCCTCTTTCTCAACAAGATGCATGCAATTCAACTAACAAGTCCCGGACAAATTTTGTTTTGGAAGTTTGGTGTAAACTTTTGCAGAGCTGCCCCAAGGAACAGTTGACCCATCCTTGTGGCACCCCAAATGCTCAACACCTTTTGCGGCCTGGCTCCATTTGGAACTGTCCACCATTTTAAAAATAAATTTAACTATCAAGAACCCTCTTTTCTAATTTGGTAACATCCAGAGGATATTAAAAATCAGCAAAGGGTTCATGACCATGTAAAAGTTACTATTGGCTAAGAACCAAAGACATGCGTTGTTCACAGGATGGAAAGGTTACCACATTCCATTTCTTACTTTAAAAATGAGCCAAAAGCTCTGTATTTGCAGCTCAACAGCTGTTGCACCCAATAGTGAAAATACGTATTATGTACTTTTATGTGTGCGGTGGGTTGTGTGACACAACCAGGACGACAAGCAAACGGAAAGCAAGGTGAAGCTATCTATCGCACATCAATATGAACACTGAGTAAGAATGTACTAAATAGTTAACTTTTTTCCTGACCTGAGTTTCCGTCATACCTTGCACTGTAACAGACATGGGTGCTGAATGGGCAAAGGGTGAGGCGAACGAAGCAGGGCTGATTCACACGCAGTCTTGGAATAATTGCCAGAAATGTATCCTGCCCCCGTTCAGCCCCACAAAGAGTGCTTTAACCCAAACCGCCTAGATACTGTTTAAAAAACTAGCAGAAAGGGGAGAGAAAGAGAGAGAGAGAGCAGGAATATATTTATAAAAGGCATTAAACAGCTGATGGCAAATCATGTTTCAGGTATAGCATCTTGGGAAAGTGGTGGTGGGTGAAGAATAGAAGTCACACATTATAGTACAAAGCATAAGAAATTTGTTGGGAATGGGGGGCGGCAAGGGAGAAAGGGGTAGACCTGAAGATTTCTCATAGATTAAATCCACAAAGATAAAGAACAAAAAAATAGCAGCTTTTTTCTGTACAGACATATAGATGAGTATCTGAACTGTAAAAAAGTTATAAAAGTGACACAAAAGACAATGTGTATGCAAATGATCCATGGTCTAACATAGAACTGCAAGACCCTTTGAAGTCTTAATAACAGAGAGAAACAAGGTCAACAAAGTGTTGTATGCTTGAATCCGTTTAATTGGCTATTCTTCTCCATTTTTGTGTTTCGCTATATTTTTTCCCCCATAAGCCTGCCAAAGCCAGCAGGAACCAACTCATGGAAAACCCTTCTGTTTTTTTCTGTTTATTTCCTTTTTGGAGTGCTGCTGAATTTCTGCACAAGATATATCATTTTCCCCCTCTGATTTGGCTCATCCGTGCCAGTTTGTCCAGAATGTAAGGGTGGACCGGTTATTCACCCTCTACCCCTTCTGTTCTCAATCGCATTAAACAAACAAACAAACAAACAGGTTTTTGTCCAGTCAAAAAAATCTACTAGACAATTTGATCTTTCTTTAAATGCCAGTGTATGATTGGAGTGTATTGGTCTGTATATTTCATTTAATTGGAGCATATGATTATTTTGCTCCTTCCATGCCTACAAAAACGAAAACAAAACCCCTAAAAGCAAGTTCTTTTTTTGGCAAAATTTGGCAGCGTTGAAAACGGTTACAACCTTGGACAAATAATGGCCCTTCAATCTTTTATATGATCCTAAAAAGGTTAAGGAATAATATTAAAAATCCAGTCTGTTTTCTTTAAATCCTGTTTTGTTTTTGTAACAACCTACAGTGTTAGGCAGGTACTTGCGGGGGAACAGAGAGCTGCGTGGCCTGCAGTTTTCTTTGATGTGATTAAAAAAAAGTGCCATAGAGTTGAACTTCACGCAGATATGTTTCCCATTATGAAGCAGAGAGAAAGGAGAGAAAAGGGACACACACATCAGATTCTCAAGTTTTCTGTTGCTATTAAGTGTTACCAATAAAGTTTTAGAAGGCTGACTGTGCGCCCCACATAGAGTTCTTTTGCTTGAAACAATCTTCTGCTTGCATATTGAAAAAAGAAACAGTTATTTCAACTTCTAACTGAAGAGAGGATTCTCCTCTGTGTGCAGCTATGACAGTTCCGAAGATCCACTGAGGTACAGTAGGCATTTGAATATATTGTTATTTTTTCCTTGCTTGCTTGCTCGCTCTCTTTCCCCCACCCTCCCCCTGATGCACACGCATGTGTTTGCAAAACCTGTTTCCAAAGGTCAGCAGGCCGAGGACTGGGGCAAAGGTAAGGCTCGCTCGTTCTTGCGCCCCCCATTCATGTGCGCGTACAGCTGCCGCTCCTCGAAGCTGGCCCGCAGGACCACCACGCCAGGGCCATTCTCTGCTTTGTGTCCTGAGTGTTTGTCAGAAGGCTGGAGGGTAGAGGAAGGATCCAAAGGAATGCTCTCCATGTTCTCTGTCTCCAAGTCAAGCTCTTCTGTGTCCGGTGGCTTGTTCTCATCGCTGTAGAAGAAGGAGACCTCTTTGAAGGCTGGGTCAAGCTCATCTTTGATGCTCCCAATGATTTCGAGGAAGGAGGGCCGCATCTTGGGGTTGTACTGCCAACACATGCGCATCAGTTCAAAGCTGGGAAGAAAGGAGCAGAAGACAGCATTCTAGTTACTCTTGTTTCTGATGCACACCCTGGCTGGGAAAAACCGATAGCCGACCCGCACCCTGCAAGCCACCGTCACAAAGCCACAGTGAGACGGAGACCTAGTCACAATACCCGCCCCAAAGGGATCACACCAGCATAATCCAGATGGCAAGACCACGTTGCCACAAGCAGATGCCTGCAGCAAGCACAGACTTCCGGGACACTTCACTCGGCTGCTGCCAGGAAATGGAAAAGGCAGGTGGCTTTCCTCCTGTCCAAGGGTCTTTCTTGGAAGATGCTTGGCTGCCAATGAACACACAGCCCACTTCGTTCACAATGGGGCCAATTGATTTGTGGTCCTGCCTAGATTTTGGCCTACAGCTCCCATGAACCGTTTGCACTGGCTCTACAGCTAGGGCCGAAGGCTGCTGTAGTCCCTGTTGTGACGGAAGAGGGCAGAGCCAAAGGCAACCACGCTTGATCCACAGCAACTGGATGCTCTGAATCCAGCATTTAAAGAATATGACTGTGCACCGAGGAGCCAAAGTGTCTACACACGAGCAGCCATTTTTCCACTGAAATGCTCTTACTGAAAAAACAAAAGGAGACCTGCGTTTCAGCAGACTTGAGGGCTATTACTCAAATTTTGCCTTTTCAGACCAAGAATGCTATGCATGGAAAAACAGAGTCAGGGCACAAATGTGAGAAATGCTTTTACGAAAAAACAATCTCAATTCTAGCATCAGATCCAACTCATTGAGGTGGTGAATACCAATCCCCTCTAAAAAAAAAAAAAAACCCTGACAGATAAACGGAGGTTTTGGAAGCTTCCCTTACTTGGAAAGCAGCTCGCTGCTAACGGTGGCCCTCGCTCCGCTACCTTCCCACCTGCTCACAGTCGGGGAGAAAGCCTGGGACATAAATATCCCGGACCCGTTTCTGTTACTTCACTGCTGTCCCTCCCGAGCTGACGGTGCCGTTTCTGAATAAAAGTGCGAGCCAGGGCCAAGCAGACGGGCGGGCAGCTGGCCCGCTGCCCCGTGGCCAGAGGGGCACTGCTGTGAAGACGCGGCAGCGAGCCACGCAGGGCACAAGTGGCACTGGTGCCAGCGAACTCACGGCGCTTCCTCCAAGCCACTCCACCGCTTCCCATAAAAGGAACTGGAGACCATGCTTACACTGCCTTGGAAACAGAAAGCTTTTCCCGAGATGGAGGGGAAGTGTGCTCTCGCTTGCAATGAGGGGGGAGCAAAGCAGGCCAATGGCTCATGGCACCCAGTTTTCCATAGGGAATTCCAAATGGAGGTAACATCTTAGTTGCCTCGTATGTGGCCACTGTCAAAGGCTATCATTACCTTCATGGTCATTCAAATATGTATACTGCTTTCCAGAAAGGCACCAAAGCAGTGAACATGCGCTACAAGGGCATCAAAGCAACGGTGAATAGAAAAATAAAAGCAAAAAATATTTGGCACAGAACCGCACACTTGGTTGTGTGCTCCAAACCACAACCCTGGCACAGCTGAGTGTTTCACCCTGAGGCTGGTGATGTGTAGATTCTCCACCATGACTCTTGGGCTCAAACGCCCAGGACTCAACGTCAGCAGCACAGATGTGAGTATGTTGGGGATTTGGACAGCATTCCGCATTCAGGAAAAGGATTTGGTTCAGGCCACAAGCTAAGCCATGCTTGGGCTGAGTATGGGTTGACTGCTGAGTTGCTCTTGAAACACGGGTTATTGTGTTCTCTGAACCCAGCTAACAAGCCATGGTGAACAACTCCCGGTTCACAATCCAAGAAAACCCATGGATTCTCCTCAAGGTGTTGCTCATGGTAACAAATCATGGCTTGTCAGCACAGCTGGACCCAGACAACACCTTAACACTTAAGCAACTCTTGGTTCAGATTAATCCTTAATCAATACTTAAATTAGTGTGTTGACTGAACCCGATCATGATGTGTGGCTCCATCCTTAAAAATTTTAAAGCAAAGATTAAATGCATTTATTTTTTCCCTAACCATTGCGCTCCCCGCAGTTTGTGCATTGTGTTTTGTAGCATATGAGAAACAGTGCGGTGCAGTGCGGTGGTTAAGACTGTAGGACTGGGACTCGGGCAATCTGGGTTCCAGTCCCTGCTCAGCCATGCAGCCCACTGGGTGACTTTGGCCTGGACACACACCCTCAGCCCAGTCTATCTCACAGGACTGTTGTCGTGGGGATAAAATTGAGAGCAGGAAGAGGAGAATTACATATGCTGCTGTGAGCCTGTTGTAAGAAAAAAGCAAGATACAAATCTAATAAATAAACACCTATATTCTTGTCATGGTTTTAATGACATTTTGGATGTTGCCCTGGGAAGACAATTATGTCGCAAAAGGCTGTTGCAGCAGCGGCAGCTCAGAAATTCCGCCATGCCCAAACTGTTTTCTGTACACGCAGCGCTAGCTGCAACAGCGACGTACTTGGTGGGTGGGGATGGCATTGAAACACCTGCTGTAATCAGTTGCTTATTCTATGAACGATTCCAAAGAGTAATTACATAAAGCTTGGCCAGCCGCTGAAGTAATTTGATAAGCCTATGAAATAAATAGTTTCTTCATCCAAGAAATTATGTCAATGTATACCTATTAGTAGCTCTGTGTTAAACTGCAGTCAACAGCTATTCCCACCCAAGTTCCCTGCTTTTATCAATTGTTAACTTGCTTAGGAATGCCGAAGAAAGCCAAAATGTCTAAAAAACGTAATTCAATTCTTGGTTCTGTGGGGAATATTTCAGAGTTAAAACTTGGAAAATTAAAATGGGAAGCTATTTTTGCCGCACAGATCTCCACCCACCCCACATGCGGTCCTTCCCTTGCTCCCTCATCAAATTATTCCCACAATGTCAAGCATAATTCCAAAGCCATCTGAGGCTGCTGGAGTTTTCCCATCCTGGAAGGGAAAGAATGCAAGGTGGGGGAATCCAGTTCCGTGGCAGTCTCCCACCGGCCTTCCTCCTGCCCAGCCCAGCCCAGCCCGCAAGGAAGCTGCCAAAGAACACTGCACTGTCACCTGACACCAGCCAAAGCCTTCTGGCCAAATAAGCTCTTTCCTAGGAATCCCAAGCAGCTGAGCCCCCTAACCTACTGCATCCCTCCAGCGGGCCTCCAACAAAAAAAGCAGTGAGACATGGCATTTCTGTCCAGAAAGTGACTTCATTCAGAACTAAATCAAACCTGAGCCTAGTTAATAGGAAAACTCTACTCAGGGATTTGGGGACTGTGGACGCGACACGCGAGGAATCAAAGGGTGAATGAGCAGGCAGTGTCATTCCCACTGTGCCACGGTGCTCATCCCACCCAGCGCGCTGAAGGGACAAATGTGCAAAGTCTCCTCTATGCACAGAGGCCTCCCAGAGGTCCAGAACTGTGACAAAGTGGGATGGAAAGGTCTGGCAATACATACAGCATATCGGGACAGTTGTCAGGCTTTTCCAGGAGACCACCCTCCATCACGAAGCGAAGAACTTGCTCGTTGGACATGCCTTGGTAAGGCTGCTCGGCTAGCGTGGCAATCTCCCACAAGACAACCCCAAAAGACCTGGAAGAAAAGTCTCGGCGTCAGCACACTCAAGCCAAGCCCTGTGGACTTAATTTAAGCAGAAGTGACAACTCCATTCCCTTTGTAATGCCAACCTGGGGCTGTTCTGTGGACCTTTTCCCCATCCTATGCCTAGATCAAGTACAAATCAAGGCACAGTCACTAAAAATGTAACACAAGAACATTGTCACTAGTGTGGGGAACTTGCGCACTTCCAGAAAAATAATGCAGTCGCTGTTTACATTATCTATATGCAACAGATCTGATGATCGACGCTGTTGCAGAAAGATAAGCAATTTCTGCAAATGTTACTTGTTACAAAGTGATATTCATCAGAACTTAAGAAGATTTTTTAAAAAATGTTGCAAACTTTCCTGGAACATTATCTTCTCCCCAAAATTGCAGGGGAGGGGGAGGGGGGAGTTTCACAGAGCACGGGTCTTGTGCATTCTTGCAGTATTCTTTAATATTAAGTATGACTGCAGCTATTGCAAGGGAAGGCCTGTGAATATACTGAAATACGACAAGTAACTAATAAAGGTTCTTTTCAAGTAAAGCTTTGAATGTCACACATAAATCACATTAAGTGTGTTATTGATTTCCCCACCCCCACAGCCAATCAAATGTTTCAGTTCAAACTACTTTTGGCTGTGGAAAAAGAAGTCTCTGAAGTAAACATATAGCATGTGAAATTAACTTAGCATTTTGTTTATGGATCATAACACAGAAGGTCTGCAACAAGAGGAATTCCTGCGCTTGAACCCCATAATCGCCACCAAGCATCGCTGCCGCTTGCTAGAACGGGATATGCAATGGTCGGACAGTATGTCACCTCCAGTGGAGGCGCATCAGGGTGAGAGGGTAGAAAATGCAGAGAGGGCTTGAACCAGGTACAGCCTGAGGACCAAAAGGCCAGAATGGGATGCCCCTCATAAGGAAAGACTGTTTTCCTGCATATTTTCATATATGCGGATGAAAAGCTTGAGACACTGCATGAGAGGTGCTGCTGATAATGGGCCGTAGAACAAAGCTTGTGTGCTCACAAGCATCCATCAACACATTGCTGTTTTTTCTGGGAAATGCTGAAGGTACAAAACTGATTTTCTTTCTCCCTTGGAATAGATGGAATGGAAGTGGACCCAGACGCCTCAAGAAGCCATCCACACCTCACAGGGGGCACGTGCTTTTTCTGGGATGGCAATACACCCGCTGCACCACAAAATGGAGCGAGCGGAGAAGCACTTGGCAGGGTTCTGGTTCACTTTTGGCCGCTGTGAAGGCCTCCAGAAAGGGAGGAGCCGATTCCAACTTTCACTCATGGACATAAGAAGAAAAGTTATGATATCGGCTGCTGTGCTGACAAAGATCTACCAAGAGGAAATGAGCTCCTGCCCTATTTTGCTCATAAAAAAACAGACATAACTTCCTCATGTGCAAGGAGACTTTACGGTCTGTGTAACGTGTTGCAACACTGGAATCCCCTTCGATGCAACATCACTTCCATGAATGGCTCTTTGACATACATTCAGATGTGGGAATCAATCCTAACCGAAATTCCTGTGGTAGATGCTGTAACCTCATTACTCTGGGGTCTGGATTCAAATCATCCTACCCCAAAATGTCATTTCTGCCTTGGATGGAGGTTTATTTTTACACTGTCAGTGGAATTTGAAATAAAAGCTATGTAGCAGAGTTCCAAGTTAGCCTTTCCAGAAGAGAAGACTACAAGGGAGCAATGGATTCTCCCTTCCCAAGAATTCTGCAATGGGAAGCCAAGTGGTTTCAAAAATACACAAGTCTATGTAAGGAGCACGACTGCCAAGCTGGAGTTTCAAAATGCTTCTCTGGGGTTGTGGGAAAATAGTACAAAAGCAAAATGACACAATTTTTAATTTTATAGCTTTAAGTCTGTTATGTCAAAGAATTTAATCCAAAGATTTTTTTAAGTCTTGCTGTTTCCAGCTAGGTTTCTGGTTCTTCCATATACTGCAGCTGCCAAGCCAGGCCTTAAAATAACCATACAGGTATTTGTTTAGACTTGCTCTTGGGGCTTTAGCATGCAAGGAGTTCCAAAGAGGAGGAAGCAGTACCCTGAGAGTACAGAACTTGTAGCAAGGACAGGAGAAACCAGAGTCATTAAGACCTGACATGCTGTTTTCTTTGAGCCATCATCAAGTTGCAGGGGCCGAGGGAAGAACACTTCCTAGGGAAGAAGAAAAGCACTTTCATTACCAAACATCCGAGTGTGTCGTGAACACGCCATCCTTCAGTGATTCCGGGGACATCCAGCGGACAGGAAGTAATCCCTTCCCACCTTTTCGGTAGTAATCTGTCTCGTAGATATCTCTTGTCATGCCAAAATCTACACAGCACAGAAGGGACAAATATGCTCAACAAACCACAGTAGGAAAAAAAGCAAGAGCACAAACAGCTGAGGAACGTGGCAATCTACCTCTGTACAGTGTCTGACACTGCAGAGCAAAGCCAGCTTGTGTTTCGAGAGTCTCTGTGCGGAGGGGGTGCCTTCGTGAGCCTTTTGCATCTCGAGTCATAGGGAAGAACAAGGAGCCAGACAGAGAATGGCAATGCTACCCCACGGAAAGGGACTTTTTGCCCAACATACCTCTTAGTTTCTGGAGCTTTTACAAAGCCCCAATTACAGGCTTATGAGCCCTTTCTATGCAGCCACAATAAATGGATGTAAACTTCCTTTTGTGTGCTTTTTAAAACATGAAATAAAATTCTTAGGATAACGAGAGATGCACCAACTGTGTTGATAACAGCATGCGTAAAGACGCTGTTCTAACAGCAATATTAGGAAAGCCTACTGTGAGCTCAGTTTTGCCAGATTCACCCTTTGGCGTTAAGCCGCTGCTTCTCTTGCACGCTTCATGCGGGGGAGAAAGTGGGGAAGGAAAAACTCACCTCCAATTTTCACAGTGAAGTCCTCTGCCACCATGCAGTTCCTGGCCGCGAGGTCCCTGTGGACAAACTTGTTGGCATTCAGATAGGCCATGCCATCTGCAATTTCACCTGCCATCTGAATCATCTTCTTTAGGGCCGGAGGAGTTTGGACAGGATTATTCTGAACAAGGAAGGACAGGAGTCAGGCACAGCATCAAGTGAGAAAGCAGCTGCTTTCTTCCTTGCTCTTTCTTTTCGTTAGGGGCGATTCCTCTCCCTGGCGGGCCATCCTTAACAAGGGAAGCTTAACAGTGAAATAAGAACTCTTCAAGTCCACCTAATGATTCTCCCCTCTGCTCTCTCCAGCACTGATTAAAGAAACGAGCTGGCAAAGGAAAATGGAGGGAGTGGGAGAAGGGAGGAAGCAATCCCCTTGGGCACCCCCTCAACCACAGAATATCTTCTTTCCTCGAGAACACGAGTTGTGTTTTTAGTGGCCAGGGTATTCCTTGCCACCCTTTCAAGAAAGATCCAAATAGGGTAAGCAAAAAGCCACATGTAACAGGGAGGAAAACATACACCTGTGAGTTTTTCTTGGAAGTTATTTTAAAGAATACACCCATGCAATCAGGGCCACCTATCACATTTCTGAACAGCTTTTCATAGGTAAGGCACTGGAAGCACAAAACTGGGCAGGCTGTGATGAAGTTTATGTCGTCAGATGATTATTTAGTTCATGGACATGATGTGCAACTCATCTTGAGTTGGGTCACTTTCCTCCAGAATTTACAGGTGTGTTAATGGAGGCCCGGGTGACCTCGGGGCATAGAAAGCCTTCACCAGCCTCAGCCAGCACACCTAGTGTGCCCTCTCCTAGTCTAGGCAACGCTATCTGCTCCAGCAGTCTCCCACTTCAGATCATTCCAATGCATTACCCTTGAGGCTGTCCTTGATGACAGCTCAGAAACTGCAGTTAGTAACAGGAACAGTATAAAAATGCCTTACATAAATACATCAAATAGTTCAAGGGGTAGCTTTTAAACCTGCCCACAAACAGAAATAATCTGCTGATCTTCCCTTCTGTAGCCCTACTCCCTCTGGGGAGCTGGGTGGCAAAGCAGAGAACGGTCCTTCTCAGCTATGGCACACCATTTCTAGGATTGCTTCTCCATGTAAGCTTTCCCAGTTCTACTTGTGCCTTGTTCTACCTTGTTCTCCTGTGGGTGCCAGGCAAAAGCTTCTATTCTTCCAGGCCTTTTAAGCACGGCAAGTAGTTTAAAATGCTTGGGTGCCATCGCATTCTACCAATATGGCTCTTTGCAACTGCAACGTGTCTCAAGCTGCTATTGGGGGAGGGGGGGGGCAGGCAGGTGTTTCAAAAGCCCACAGCCAAATCTTTTAGTTACATATATGGAAGATGAATGCTCTTGAGAGATCAGAATGAAAGAGCAGACTTCCAGTTCAATAAGAATGATAACTCCATAAGATACCCAGCTCCTATAGCATTGGGTATCCAAGTGTATCACTCACAGATCAAGACGGCTATTTTCCAAGTATTTCTTAACCTGTATTAGATATATCCCTTAATAAACAGCAGAGTGCAAGAACCCATGGATAACCATTTGCTCCAAGACCACCTGGCCTTATGCATTTTGAAAGGAGACCCTGCGATTTGAGACTACAGCCTGAGAAGATGTTATCTAGGCATTACCAAGAGACAAGGTGAGACATCCATGTTTCACATCCTTGCTAACTGCAGAAGTTTACCCAAAGCAAAGCATAGCACAGCCAACTTTTCCAACCAAAAGAACAGAAAGAGCTCTCCAGACACCACTGCCGAGTGCCTGAACTGGGGAAATCCCAGATGGTTTCCAAAGAGCATCTTCTCTTGCAAAATATGTGCCGCTCTCACCTCCGTGTCTGGTCGAAGAGACCGCAGATAGCTCTTCAGATCTCCACGAGTCATGAGTTCCATGATGACCAGCGTGGGCTGGCCTTGAGACACAACTCCCAGGAGTCGCACCTGGAAGAAAAGTGCTCTGATTATACCTCTGAAGGACATCCTTGCCACCTTATCCCTGCTATTTGTAAGGGTGAAGCTCGCCCATGTGCACCACTGGGAGAACAGGTATTTATTAGAGACCAAGTCCTGCTAGGTCCAACAGCACTTACTTCCATGGTCTGTGCAGACGGTCCTGGCCTTCTCCAGCCTTTGCTGTCCCAGGGAAGATATAGGGGCACCCCACACCCTCTCCAGGAAACTGCAGCCGTGTTCACAAGCAAGCTGCTTGTCCTGGAAGCGGCCTCTCTTTAAGTAATGGCTACTAGAGAAAAGATGGCCAGCTTCTTTGCCAGGATAACTGCAGTTGCTGAAGCTTGGACACACTGACCGGGGGGGGGGGGGGACCATTAGCACCATCTGCTCCGGAAAGAGCACAAGGGAAAGGTCCAACCACTCCCCTTTTCTCCCAGTCAGCAGTTCAAGGCAACAAAGATAAATCTGAGTTATGTTCCTATCTGCAGTTACAATCAGTGAACTTTGTGGGATCCACTTTTCAGTCAACAGGGGTATCATGGGACTGTTTAGCTGCACACTTTACTCAGAAACTTCCCCAAGACAGAATCTCAGATCACGCATGGAACCCAAGGGGAGGCTGCTTCCAGGTGCAGAGACCAACCAACCCCATCGCAGCAAGGTTAAGGGCTTCTGCAGCCACCATCAGGATGTGGGATTGCGCAGCTTTCTGCCTACATAGGCAAGCCTGAAGTCCCCAGAAGGACCAAGAGCAACCAGAAGCTGAGTGAGATTTCCCTCCCGCCCCGTCCATTACAGTGACCATTACAGTCTGAACCCCTCTGGATTCAAGCCAAGTTGGTTGTCCTGATAAAAATGCTCTTTCTTCTTTAGCTCTCAAGGGGAACATCGACCCCCAGTGGCAGCGAGATGCTGAATGCTCAGTCTGACTGGGAGTGTACCATTCAACTGCAAGCAGTTGCCACATCAGTCCAGATAACATCCTCACTTCCAATACTTCAGGCAACTGAAGTTTTTCTTTGCTCCATCAGAAGGCATGCTAAACCTTCTCTCTAGATTCCATATGGCCCATCTCAGTGTCAGCAGCTTCTTCCACTGCTTGACAATGTATTGGTTTATCTACTTCCAGAGACTCTCTCATTACTGTGGGCTTTGAATTTCTACTTTTTAACCTACCCAATAGTCTCATGGACAGCACTATATCCCAGCCCACAGCAAGGATGCATACGCCACGAGCAGCCTATCCTTAAAGCTAAAAGGAAGAAGGCTAATATCATTTCCTATTTAGCGCACTGCTTCGTGTTTGTTCAGGCTGTATACCAAGACTTCACGAAAGCACTTGTTCCCCTGCCCAAAACAGCATTTTTCAGTATTCTAATAATGGGGGCAGGGGGAGGATGGAGAAAACAAACCATGCTACGCACACCAGCAATCTGGGGTTAGCACAGTTTACAGCAACTTACTACATGATGGCAGTTGAACTCTTTCATCACCGAAGCCTCGTTCAAAAACTCGATCCGTTCTCGCATGCTCGCTGACTCATTGACTGTCTTGATGGCCACCCTGGTTTCTGGCTCGCCCTTAACCACACCTTTTGCTATCCCTTCGTACACCATGCCGAAGGAGCCCTGCCCCAGTTCTCGGCACATGGTAATCTTCTCCCGGGGCACTTCCCATTCATCCGGCACGTACACTGCAAAATCACAAGCAACCATTTCACTTCTGTTTGGAACTAAAGCTTTAACAAGAGGACAGAATGAAAATAACTTCCTCCTCCATTACAACATAGGAGAAAGCTCTGCAGTGTATTGGCCCTATTTTGAAAGACTGGATGCAGGGGCAGGGGGAAAAACACTATACATGGGAATATACAGGGAGTCTGAAACCCAAAAATGGGGCCATGAACCCAAAATGGGGGGCAGGTTTTTTAAAATAGGGAGTAACATAGTTAGAAGCTATGTCTATTCACTTGCTTTGATGTATGAGTGTTCCCAGCAGCCAGAGCCATGGTCAGGAGCCCTATCCATCACCACATTTCACCTCTCCTGTGTTTTTAATTTTTTATTGTAACTGAGCAACGAGAAGCATCCACAGGCACATCTGACTTCAAGAACAAAACTTCCCCTCCAAAATGCATGCACATTTTTTTTCCTCCTGCTATGCCAGAGAGGAACCACTGTCTCCCACATGAAATCCAAGTGAATAACCCACAGATGTCCTGCTCACAGTCTGGAGGATGTAATCTCCATTCCAGGTCAACAAAATAAGCACCACCTCAGATGTGTGCAGGAGAGGGAAATAAGATGACAAAGAGTAAAGGAAATGGCTGTTAGCCTTGCTGGAATGATTGCGAGGAAAAGTTTAAAAAGGAAGAGTTAAAAAAGGAAGCTCACCTCTGTTTCTGCACCCGCTCTGGAAAGAAGAGCTCCTGAGCCCCCCTCCCCCACAAGTAGCAAGAGGCCAGGACAGCCTTTCAACTTGCTGGCTGAAATACCAGCTCTTTGAAGAAGCAACCTGAGCAGTTCAAGTATTATAGGATAGGCCTAAGCCCTTGAGAGAGCAGCCAAGCAAGAGGGGGCTTCATCTCCCACAAGTTCCTCTGTCTGGCTCAAGGACCGAAGGAAACGCTTGTCTCTGTAACCATTCCCTCAAAGCTTTCTGTGATTCCACCTGAGGACATGCACCTTACTGCAAAACTTGCAGCAGGTGCCAGAAGCCAGGAGGAGCAACTCACCATCTGAAGCGCTGAAATATTCAGGATTCACAGAAGCGTACAGCACGCCGTTTCCAAGCCTGTCACTGTTCCTGTTGAAATACAAGAGGGCATTTCCTGACTTCAGCACCCGCCTCTAAAGAGAGCGACGCTTCACCTTGACTCAGTTCTCACACTGCGAGCTGTTCCGGGACTTGCTTTTCATACACACACTCCCTGAAGCAGCATTTGGCAGGTGCTTGGAGGTGTTCTGGATCAGCCGGCCAACTTCCCACACGTGCCTAGGCTCAGGGACAGATCCCCGAGGCATTCCCTGCGTGTCGCTGCGTTGGTCTACAGCAGCAAAATCAAGACTGCAGAACAGGCCTGCCCTGAGCCCCTTGCTCAAGGGACTGTCAGGAAACATCCCACGAATACAAAAAGGGGAGACCCTCACAAAGCACATTCGGAGGCAAGGAGAGACACACTGTAACTCCTCCTACATTTCGCAACTCAGACGCTCCCAGTTTTGCCACTGCTTCTTATTTACCCCAGTTGTTCTCTGGGCACAAGAGCTGCAATAATCCCCAATACGCTGGGGCTTCACATTCTCCCTGCACCAGAATGTTAGAGTCATGAGGGGATTAATATAAATATTGGTACGGGCAAAGAGAACAGGTGCCAAATGCTGCAGGGGGGAGTTCCCGGGGCAGGGAGCCAGCCCGTCACCCTCTCTTGCAGGCTGCTCCATTGCGTCCCTTCTCGCTCACTTCCTGCCCCCCCCCACCCACCACCCCTGTCCATCTGCAGTCCATCTGCCTTCCCCGTATCTCCCACTAGTTTTACCTACTAAGACAACTTTTGGTACTCCTGCAAATTTTCACATTCCTGCTGTGCTCTAAAAGCACGTCCTCCGAGAGCCCATCTGCCATGAATGACTACCAGTATGGAAGGAGGTCACAGATTGTTCCTATGCATACTTATTAACATCTTCTCACACATTTCCAGCAAGGAATTCAAGGTGCCACCATGCAATTCTCTCTCTGTCTCCCTATTTTAATCCTCACCACCCCCCATGAGTTAGAGAAGACCAAGAAGTTGGATGAGTCACTCTTTCTTAGGCCTGAGTGGAGAACACCTAGCTCGGCCCCCACAGTCTTGTCACACACGCAACAATTCATGGGCCTATCACACCTGGGGAATTGTGCCAGATTTGCTTAACAAAATTGACACTTGGAGGTCATCGCCCGAATGCCACCTCTGGAGGAGCTGGGAGAGCAGGCAACAAGTGTAGGCCCCCATCTGTGAATGATCTCCCCAGAGAGGCCGGCCTGACACCATCCTTTCGGCCCCAGGGCAGGATGGCCCTCCATGCCAACACTCTGAAAGGCATCCCAGGACAATTCCTGGGGGCCTGTGCCCATCCTAGAAGGTTTACAGGAATACCCTGTATCACATGCTGTTTTAGCTGCCTTTAAATCGTTTCTAAATGCTTAGATTTTGGAAAATGTTTACAGTGTATCATTGCATCGTCTATTTGAGAAAATTTAACTTGTGGCTATTGGGAGCTATAGAAATTTATTAAATAAATAAGGCACCCAAGGCGGGGTTTTTTTTTTTTTTTTTTTTTTTAAGGCAGTGATGTTGTGACAAACTGGCAACTTCAAAGGAAATTGTATGCAGTGCAAGCAAAGAAAACGTGGGGGAAGACCTAGAAAAGAAAGCAAGAGATCCACATCTGCTGGTTACATTATGTGGAAGTATCTGGTGCCAACAACTCAGTAAGAGAAAACACAGAATGTAATAGCAACAGCAAAGCTAACTTCTGCAAGAATAGTGGGAAGCAGCAGTGGTCCCACCGAAAAAGAATGGAGGAGAAAATACAGGAAAATCATTTAACATGGTGAAACAGACTGTATATCCACACTGGGCCCTCTTTTCCTCTTACATGCAATCTCCTTAATCACTGGTATCAGCTGTCACCCATACAGCACAAAAATGCCTGTTTGTGTATATGGATCTCCTTCACTCAAATGGAGTTGAACCCATAAATCCACACCGACTGAGCCTCTGTCCCCAGGCCAAAGCCTCATATTGCTCCTCACCTCTTTTTGTTACAGACATACAGCATGATCAGAAGTCCTCCGACAATCAGCAGGACCGCGATGGGGAGAACTATGATGAGATGCAAGAAATTCCCATAGTCGGCTGCTGCAGCAATCAAAAGAGAGATGAATTTGCAAAGTGATTATTCATGTGCCTGTATTGTTTGCGCTGCTCAGCTAGGCGTGTGTGCAAGACACACTGCATCAGGCTGCTTAGAGCGGTACAGGCATGCTGGTTCCCTCCAGGTGCCTGGGAATCATAGAATCTCAGAACAGTAGAGTTGGAAGGGGCCATGAAGGCCATCGGGACCAGCCCCCTGCTGTTGCAGGACAACAAGTTACACCATCCCACTCAGAATGCAACTCCCATAAGCCTCAGCCAGCCTGGCAATGATGAGGATTATGAGATTTGTAGTTGAAAACATCGGGACAGCACCCGTTTGCCCATGAGTGCTTCAGGAGAAAAGCACAATGCAGCATTTTTCTTCAGGAAGGTGTCCTACCCCACTCCCACCTGACTCCTGCAAAGAGCTTGAAAGCAGCAAAGGGCGGGCACAGCTATCTGCCAATCAGAAATATGATGCCTCTAAACATATACTTTCTATTCCAAATGATGCTGCTAAATAGCAGAGCTCCGTCCTCCACGTATGTACAGAAATTCAGTAAAAGCTTTACGTCAAGGAATGCCCAAGCGAAGGGGAGGAAGGTTGCATGAACGAGCTTCCATGGTGTGCACAGAGACCATGAGGAAGAACATACGTTTTGGCTGAACATAGAATGAGATTGGCTCAGTCCAGGATCCATTCCCAGCCAGAGAAGTTGCTTGCACTCTAACAGAATAATTTCCAGGGTTCAGATGGGTCAGTTTGGCTCCTCCAAGTTTCTTGTATTCTTGCCTGGAAACACATTCCCGTTTTTCCTACAAAAATGTGGGGAGGGGGAGAAGAGAGAAAGAATTACATAAATTGCTATCCCTTTTGTTACATCAATTGTTATCCATGCAGAGAGAGCACTTGAAAACAGCAGCTCTGGTTTCTTCTGAACTCTTTTCGGCTGCTGGGACAAACATTTTTCTTTTAAACCTTTTATTATTGACATAGGTTTTTGAAAATGCAAAGGATTGGGCAATCCTAGAGGAAGTTATAAAAAAGGGGGAAAAAACACATAGTTGCTTGTAACACAAAAAATTCATTTAAGGGTAAATGCAACACACACTGGCAGCATGAGAGAGACAGTGCTGTCCAAATGATCCCCGGCTTTGGTCCTTGGCCATGTGGAAATATCCATATTATCAGGCTTTTCCCTGCTATAAGGTGCATTTCCCCAGGGAATTCACCGGAATGTGAGGAAGCTCCTCTATACTGAGTCAGGCCACGGGTTCATCCAGATATGCACTTTGCCACCCAATTATGACCATGCGCACACACGCAGTGTGCACACACAAACGAGACATCTGCAATAGAGTGAGAGGAAAGCTCTGTGGCCCACCTTACCTCTCCATTTTGCCCATATTTGATTTCATACATCAAAACCAGCCCATTGGGACTAACTGGCTCAGGCCACTTCAGGTATATCGTGTTTTCTTCCTTGGCCTCCCACGTTACTGGTCCTGGAATGTTATCAGCCCCTTCTGTGGATGGAGATGCAAGAGCTCATGTAATTTGAGACATGAATGGCACAGCAACCTCGCTCAGCTGGCATATGCCCTTAACCCCAACCTATATCAAGTGTCACATATTTAGAGGGAAAAAAAGGAGGGGAGACAATGTGCTCTCAAATGGTTTCCGCCGCCCATGGCACAGAGCAAGGCAAGAAACGACAGTGCATCTCTTCCTAGGGCAATCCTTGTTCACCAGAAAAAGCCAGCCACACAATTCCTAAGGGCACACACAGTGGTAAATTTTAAACCGTGGGCAGCCATTGTGAGAGCTGGGCCGACAAGCAGAGTCCAAACAGACAAGTCGTGTGTCTGTCCATATCAACAAACCCATTCCAACCTTGTTCTGCTCTACCCTGGGATGATCTGCTGCAAAGCTAATGGATCTCAAGTGCTGATTCAAGACCAGGCCACCCAAAAATACTTGACATTTTGGGGGTTGGCAGGAAAATGCATTTTCTCCCAGCTGAGCTCAAAGAGAACAGCAAAGTCTCAGGAAGCAGAGCCCCTGCGAACAGAAAATGTGGGATTGCCGTGAGCCCTGGTTCCACCCCACCCCTGCAAGCAGCCATTCCAGAATCAGATATTCAACAAGGGCGCAGTCAGAAGCCATGCCGTGCACGTGCATCGGGAGGAGAAGCCTCTGAGTGGGTCTGCGTGGCACGACAACCCCAAGAGTGGCCGATGAACCACCTGGGGGAAGATTTTGCCTGGAGCTCTCGGCAGGCTCAACACAGTTGGGCACAGTGGTGGTCCAGAAGAACCCCCTCCCCTCTTCTTCCCTTCAGTCCTCCCACAGGCAACATCCTGGGAACCCAGTCTTCCTTTCAGAACCACCAAAATCCATTACATACTCACTGCAGCTTGTTATTAAAACAAAACGAAGCCAAGCCAAGCCAAGCCAACCAGGGGAGGGGCCATTTAGAAAAGGCAACGTCAGTGGCCCCTGGGGGCTGCCAAGCCTAAGTGGACCGGAGGGGTGCGCAAGCTTGGGTGGGCACCCAATCCACCACCCCACCATGCAGTGCCGACCCCGGGCTGCATGTAAGTATTCCACCCATGACCACCACGGACCCTTGCAAGGAAGGGGCAGGAATGATTTGGCAACACCTATCCTCTCCTGGCCAATGAATCCCCAGCAGACCATGCTTTGCAAAAAGCAGCTCCCCCCACCCCGACTTCTGCAGTGCCATCCCCTGCTTTCATCAGGGGAGATCAATGGCCCCCAGTTCTGAAATCCCCACCACACTGATAGCATCACAGAAACCCTCAAAGCTGGGCCAGGTTCCCACTGCCAGGAAGGACTCTGGGCACACAGCAGCTCAGGCCCCGTGAACTCCTCCCACTGCCGCCACCTTGGGATCGTATCAGCTTGGAGTAAACGGCAAGCGCAGGTGCTGCTGGGGCTTCTGATCACCCGCTGGGAGGTGTTGCCAGGAAGGGGGTGGCCCTCCTAAGCACCCGTCCAGCAGGATCCATGCGGGGGGCTGTGGGGGGTCCTTGTGCATTCAGAAATGTGAGGGCAAGCCAGGGTCACACGGGCATCCAAACCCTCCATTCACGGATTCTGCCTCAAAGGCTGCTTTCCCCGAAGCACCTGCAAAGCAGTCCTGCATCCAGCTGGGTTAAAGATATATATCCGGTGTGTCCCATTTCTTGCTCATTGCCGTATTTTTTAAAGGGAAGGTGCCAACCATAGGCAACTCCTGCAAGGCTCCCACTGAGGATGGTGGGGGACAGCTCACAGGCGCTGCAACACGGAATTATTAAAGTTTCCCTGTCAATCAGTGTTGACAATCTAAACAAAGAACAAGAAAGAAAAATCCCTCTGGGAAAGGGGGTGGGGGGCGCTCAGGTACTTCTGGGTTGCGTGGCTTCGCCTTTGACCACCCTTGCCCAAGCGTGGCTATAGAGGAGGTCCCTTCCCTCCGTTCACAATGACTGCAAGCTCTTGCAGGACCGGAGAAAGGACAGACAGCTTTGTGGGCCTCTGGAATCATGCAGTCACACCTTCAGCGGGTTGCTGAAGCCTTTTCTGATTTGTCAGAAGATTAAACTGCTGCCATTTCCTGCCTGAACTCCATTTGCATGCTTGTAAATCTATCTATCAGCTGATGCTTATGATGTTATATCAAAGTTTATGTGCAAATGCAGAGATAAGAAGCATTTTTCTTCCTATGGCAATGCCGTTTACTTAAGGAAGTGGGCCAAAGTGCCCAGTCGGGCTTCGAGACAGTACCTGCAGGCATGGTTCTTGCGAAAACAAAGTTAGACGCGCTGCAGCCCAGGAGTGCGGCTTCATGGTTGCAGCTGTGGATGTCGATACGGTAAAGCGTGAAGGGCAGGAGCTGGGAGATGAGTGTCCGCTCCCTGCCCTCCACTTTGCTTTCCGAGAAGAGAAACTCCACTTCGCTTTCCTCTGTGTCTGATGCATTGGCAAAGTGCTCTGGGACCGTCAAGGTCTGGTTCTTGCTGGCAGAAGTCGTATTTGCAATTCGGTACAAGTCTCTCCGCTTCCGGTCAGGCCTGGATAGGAAATCGAGAAAGGCCTGTAAAAGTGGGGTAACTTTAAGTGGGGTGGGGAGTGAGGAGGCAGTTCAAAGTGCTGCCACTGCTTGGATAAACAAGCACAAGAAGAAATATTGCAACATGAACAAATGGCAGGCATCTAAGCCATGTAAGTAACACCCATGTCAGGATAACCCTACGTTCCAGGTAATGTCACTCCTGAGTCAAATTACACTTCAGAGACACACTGAAGCCTAATCAAGACAATTGACTGGCAAGGAAAACAGAAAGGAGAGAGTGAGGTCAGAACACAACTGTCAGAAAGCAAAGTTAGTTCAAGCACCAGTGAAGTTCAGCAACAGGCAATGCCTGTCGGACAATCCCCAATAGATGCCTGAAAGAGACAGATGGTCAAATACATCCCAGCAAAGTCTCAAGCTAGGGACAACCTATCTTGGACAGCTGGGACTAAATACTAAGCCTGTGATCTCTCCCTCCCTTCCTCTCTCTCTCTCTCACACACAGAAACTAGGTTCAAACAATATGATAACCCACATATAAGGTTTAAATATAGATTGGAAGGTAAACTGTTGTTGAAATGTGGGTTGGTTAGTGTGTTTGGGTTCAGCCACAGCAACAAGCCATAGCTTGTTCTCTTGGCTGGGTTTAGGCCACATGATAAACCACTTCTAAGCAACAATATGGGGTTCAGAACAGTCAATGTTCAACTGATGCTCAGCACTTGAGCAAGGGCTGTCACACTGGCTAACCTCCAGGCCTCATGAACACATACGTACGCAGTTTTAGATTCTGCGCTGCTTTAATAACATTGCAAAAATAAGCAGATCCCTGCAAAAACATGAGTGTATCATGGGGGTTGCACTCACACAAGAACTGCTTTCTCCCTTTTGTGTGTGTGGTATGTGTGCAATGAAAAGGACAGACAGATGTGTACAACAAGTTATGAAGATAAATTCCATGGAGAAATTTTATCCAGGTCACGATCTCACATTTTCCTGTTCTTTGGGGTTCTTAACCATCACTTTGACTGCACAGCTCATTATAAGCCGTTAGCCTCAACTACTACAGCTCTTACAGCATTGAAAAGAAAAATGCTCCAATTATGAATGCAAGCTGAGCAAAGAGGAAGAAATAAGTAGAGGCAGTCAAGATTCGTATTAGCAATTTGTTCCCACTTGTGTTAATTCCTCTACAGAATGTCAAGATTGCTAATAACTTGATACCACATCCCCCCAGGGTCAAGATGCTTATTGTGTTTGCTTACTTTCTCCTACTTGGTACCTGCAGAAAGAAAACCTCGTTCCAAACACATGCGGCTTTGAAATTAAAAGATTCTTAAAAATACATATCGGAATGAGCAAAGGTATTCAGTGTTGCCAGAAAGCTTCTACCAATGATTGACAGACCTGCCCTGATGTCAGCCATGAACCAAGGTGGGCAACAAATTTATTTCTAAAGAGCACAGCAGGAACAGAAAAGGGGACAGATTAAGTGACTCAGAAGAATGAAAGGTTGAGAAGGATGGAAGGGAGAGAGGCAGCAGCAGGACAAGGATAACATAAAAACAAGCCCACAAAATGGTTTTGCTGAGGTTGGGCTACACCAAGCTAAAAGCTGTTTTAAAACATAGTTTTGCTTTACTTTTTTAACATATATTTTCTCTTGCGAGGCAGCTGACACCCCCCCCCCACTCTCCCCTCTTCTTCCTTTTACCCTTTTATGGTGGCTTAGGCTGCGAATCAGCAAAGATGCCCAGTGAGGATTGGACCCTGGATCTCCCAAGTGCCCGTCAGTAACCCCAATACCACACTGGCTCGTTTAGTATCACATTGTTACCCAAATGAGGAGTCTTTAAAACAAGCATTGTTTGTAGTAATCTTAATTTGTGTAGTGCTTTTCAAAATCTCCCTCAAGCCAAGCAAATTATTTGTTGATTCAGTTCAGGCATCTGTTAAACTGCTGTGAAGAAACTGTGTGGAAATCAGCAAGCTCCTCATCTGTGAAACTGACAGAGGAACTGGTGCTTTGATTATCCTGGACTCTGTTCACAGGCAATGGTCAGGAAGGACTTTGACCAAGGAATGAGGACGAGCACAGTATCTTTCACGCAGGGAGACACAAAACTGCAAAGCTGATCCCCCACTTCTTGGTGGAAGCCTATGGATGTTGCAAATGGCCGGGCAGGGTGCAAATCCTGCTATTTTAGCACTGCCTTTTCACTTCCAACCCTAATTCACAGTTCTTCAGCCTTACCTTTAAAAGCTTGAGTGGCTTGGAATTCAAAGGCCAGGTGGAGCACTGAGTCCCAAAGCAATTTGCTCCCACGGTAAGGTAAGGCTTACATCTTCTTTGAGCAACTCTTCCATCTGATTTCACAAGGCAGATGCAGCAGGCCTTTTTGGCAGTGGTACCCTAAAGAGGCCCAAAGCCCCCCACCCCCAAATTGGGGAACTTTCTTCCCAGTAAGGCTGCCTGGCACCAACACCTGTATCTTTTCAACACCAGATTACAACCACCTTCAAGTGACTGTTTGAAAACTGTTTGGATATACGTCAGCCTGTGTGCTGTCTGCATATAAATACATTTTTAATAATGATTATATTTTGTCAATCAGCCAGAGCATTCCTGTTGGGCAGTGCAGAAATCTAATAAATTAACAGGTTTCATAAACCAGGCATGATTATCTTTTACGCACCAGTCTAAACCTTCCTATTTGCTTAGGTATTTTATGGTTTGGCTGACATTTCATCTGCTGCTTGTAATGACATTTATGTACCTGTTTGTTGCCAATACTGTTGCTGTTATTGCTTAGGCTCCTGAAAGTGCAGCCCTATGCAAGTTTGATCAGAAAAAGCCCTACAAAACGGTCCACCATCAGAAAAAGCACTGCAGGCTGAGGCATGCTAGGAATTGTAGCCTTTGTTCTGCCCCAACTTGTCTAAGATGGTGCCCTTTTTTTGGTCCAAAAAGGCAATTTTCACTTTAAGGTCTTTTTTAAAATAGGTATCACTGGGTAAATGTCCTTAGATTCCACTATGATGAATGGTGGCGTATCAATGTTGTAAATAAAACACAAAACAAACAAAGCATTACTTCTGTACTGGGCAAAGCAACCACCATAGCCTCGAGCCCCGCCAGGTCCCCAAGGAGGGCTGCAAAGGACAAGCCTCACCTGGGCAAAAAGATGGCGTTGTGCAGAAAATTCTCAAAGACTTTGCGGTACTCGGCTTCCTCCTTCTCAGCCTGCTTCTCCGCTTCTGTCTTCGGGCAGGCACAACAAGGGCCCTTCTCTCCCACAGATCCCTCCGGCTTGGTGGGCTCAGTGGCTTCCTCTGTGTCTATGGTCCCATCAGCGTGCCTCCTAATCGGGACTTTATCTTGGATGGAAAAGAGAAGTATGCCAAATATAACAAACTGAACTGACGACAGAACTGCCTTCCTAACACCCTTTACAAAGGTCCTGAATGCAGGCCAGGCCGCTTCTCTGCCACACAGTATGGAAGCACCAAGCCTTCCAGGAAGCAGTGGGCAGAGAGCAGCCACCGCCCCCCAAATGTGGCCAGGCAGACCCTCCCCGCCCCCCACCCACAGCTTTCCCACTCCTGAAAGAAGCAGCACTTCCGAACCAAGGCAGCTGCCTTATGCCCACTCAGGCCGCATGTGTCCATCTTCCCCAGCACTGTCTATGCTGGCTAGAAGCCAACCCCGCCCAAGTCTTTCCCAGCCCAGCTTGCAGAGGCTGGGGACGGTGAGCCTGAGTCCCGCTGCGTGCAGAACACATGCTCCAGCGCTGCGTGGCGCCTACCCACGCTACTGCTCCACAGCAGGACGGGATTATCCAGGCTGCTCCCCAAAGGCCCCGACTTTAAATGACTGCCATCCATTCATCTCGGGCAGCAATGGGGAGAGGGGGCCAGGCAAAGAGGGGGGAAGGCGTTTTGGGCTGCAGTTCTACCCAGGGGAGCGCAAACACAACCATGCTTGCCTTCGTTCCCCCACCCTTCAAACAGCGCCCACTTTTCCAACATGAATGCAGGGAGAGATACATTATGTGGCCACTGAAGACCAAGGCCTGGTCTTCGAGCAAAGCAAAATGAGAAGCCAAACAAGCAGAATGGACAATATTAACTTTGGACTCTAGGTGAATGAAATCACACATCTGAATATCCCTTATGTATAAAGAAGTTCATCACGAGAACCTAGAATCTCTCCTTCTCTGACTTATTAAGAGTTCTTCTCCTTCTTATACAGAAAAGGCAGTTTCTGATATTTTTTTTAAGGGTGGGGGTGAATGCAGCATGTAGCACCTGCAGGCAGACATGGTTCAGCCCACTCCACCTCTTTACAGGGCTCCACACGCAAGCCAAGCCCTGGTGGTCTGGTTTGCGCAATACAATAGCCCAACATGGGTTACACTGCATCCAAGGTGCAGTGATACGTGCAGGCTGCCATTTTAAATATGGAACTTCTGACTTGGGTGGACACAGCCAGAAGGGGTAAGTAACCAGCACTTGAACCTACCACAGCCCTCAAAGAACAACTGCCGGCCAGTTTCACATGACACTGTGATTCCTGATAGGACGGTCCATATTCCTATCTGCAACTCATCAAGAGTAAATGAAGCCTGGAGGAAGGGTCGTGTCAAAAGAAACAGCCGAATGACTTGCAGTTGATACTGTGAAAAGATCTACATTCTAGGCAAATTTAGGAACTGGCCGGTGCTAAGCTGAGAAGGAGCCACCTCAAAAACACCCATGCACATTCCAAAACTGGCCTCACCTTTGGAACAGTAGTTGTGCCTGTACAGGTAACTGTCCTGGGGCTGCTGCTGCCACCGCACAATGTAGTAAGACAGGTTGCCATTCGGGTGTGTGGGGGGATTCCATTTCACAATCAGCTGAGAGGAGGAGTTGGACGCTGAGATGACATCCAAAGGAATGGAGGGCACTGGGGAGAAATGAGAGCTGTAAATATTTCACCCAACAGCATACAGTGAATGGAAGTCCACAAACCTGCTAACACACTTTTAGAGTTACAGAAGTCAGGGGGTGCGGTGCAGAAAATCTTGCGCCTGCTTCAGAGTTCAGGTACTGGGCCACCAAACACTGGACTTGGACTGCCAGCAAATGTGACGAAGAATCAAGGGTGATGGGACTGCAGTGCATCCAACATCTGTATGGCCAAAGGTGCCCCATCTCTGCCTTAGAGCAACATAGGAACATTCTAGGACTATATGCCCAGAATGCAGGAATTATCCTCCATTCTAACACACTGCTTTAAAAGCAGCCGACAGTAAACCGTGTTCCTGGGAGCTGAACGTTCCTCAAAACTTAACAGGCATTCTTTACCAAGACAACCAGTTAAGTTTCCTGGATGGAAGTCATGTTGTTCATGATGGGATGCCTCTCCCAGTCACAATCAACACTACACTCGACAACAACTCAACTCCAGGTATCACCTCCAAGGGAAACCCACCTGGCAGCAACAAAGAAAAGCACTTTCCCTGCGACAGCACCATAAGTATGGAATGGAATTCCCAGTGAAGCCCAACTGGCCCCAACTCTACTATCTTTTCGGTCCCAGGCTGGGACATTTGATGCTGACATTTGATGCTGACATGACATTTAATAGCATTACATAGCACATGAGAGACAAGGAATGTCGGCTCTTTTTAATATGTCTAATTGTATTAGCTTGTCTTAGCTATCTAAGTCATTTAGATTTGGATTTTTAATTCTATACTAAAATTTTAGGATATTATTTGTATTTTATATTGTATTGTATGACTTGCTGCAGCTATACTTTGGGCAGTACTGGAATAAAATTAATAGTAATAGCCTTCTAGTACAAGCACAGGAGAGTTCCATTTGTTGCATTCTAGGATGCACTAGCTTCTTTTCACACTGAGGAAGAAAAGTGTGGCCCAGAGATCTGGTCAACACCCCACACAATGAGAACATGCAACTTAAAAGTCCCCCAGAAACTCCCTCCGCCAGCAATCCCTCTGCAGTGCACAGAGATTATTCAGCAAATCAGCAGTTGTGCAAACAGACCCTTGATGGAGGAACACTTCAAAAACATGTCATCAAGGCATAACCGGGTAAGCAGTTTAACCAAGTAAATTGTGTAGTATCCAAAACTATGGAATGAGTGAGGTTATGGACCTGGATGTAATCACAACTGACTTTTCAAGAAAAAAATGGAATCCAAGCATAATGAAAGATACTGAAGGGAAATAAACAAACGACTCATGCTACCTCAATTATGGAAAGGAATTTAACTGCTTTGTGCTAAAAGCAACCCTGCTGTGCACCTAAATTGTGCAAATCTGCATAATTTATTTAGCTTCTGCTCGCTGGGGTGGGGACAGGGGTTAGAAGAAGAAAGCATCACACACTCTCATTCTCAATTTCGATAAAAGCACGAATTGTATTTATCTGCCTGCAAACTTCACAAAGAACATCAGGGATCAATCCCCTCTTCCTGGATCAATACAGATGGATGGCTACCTAAAACTCCAGCCCCAAATCAGATACCATTTCCACTCTCAATTAGGGAGACTTTGTTCGAGATGATTAAATGCTGTTGGGTATTTCTTGGTGTTTGATTAATCAGACAATTACCACCTCTTCACACAGCCCTTGCACTGGATGCAATCAGGTTCTGGCAGGCCAAGGTGGGGTGACATTGCTCAGTGAAAGCAGCTTTTCCTAACCTTGGTGCCCTCCAGAGGTAGGCTACAGCTCCCATCATCCCCAGCCATGCTGGGGGAAGCTACATTAAAGTCATCAGCAGTCTGTGGGAGCCTTCCATTATGCAAATGTGCAGCTTGCGGGTTCAAAACAAGGCAGGGAAGCAACGAACACTAAAGTAGCCATAGCACGTACGTTTTTCAGGCAAGGGGGTTTAACAGCTGCATAGCAATTGTTCCTTGATGGAGCTAGATGACGCGTCCCTGCTTCTCTCCTTATGCATCCAATGCCACCCAAGTGCAGCACAGAAAGTCTCAGGGATCCAGCTTGTCTTCTTAATACAGCTGCTATTATTTTGAATGGAGCTCCAAATTGCTATTGAATCATCACTTGGCAAGCATTTGGGAAGCCCAGAGGCAACAGACAACTAAGAATCCACTGACTGTTAGCACCAGGAGGCGAGCTAAACTCATGGATATCAACAGAAGGCCGGCAAGAACACAGAAGCATGAACTGGCCAATGTCTCCATGGGCTCTACTTCTGCCCTTCAATGGCCTCGGTATAGAATTCACCCCTGGAAGAATCCCAGACTTGGCAGCACTCCTACATCCTGCTGCTGGTGTAGGAATGTGGTGCAATGATTAGAGAAGGACTAGAGACTGAGGGAACACAGATTCTAGTTCCCACCCAACCACAGTACTCACAGCAGGACTCTGGTCCAGTTACTGGCTCTCAGGCTAGCCTGCCTCCCCCACCCATTGCAGGGATGGTCCGAAAAGAAGAGGCCTGGCCTGAATTCCTTCAAGGAAAGGCAGAACACAACCTGAACAAGTAGGTGCCTACCTCACTAACATGGCCAATTCTAAAACCCACCACCATCTATTGTTATATCAATGCTATCTTTGAAATCCTGAATCAGAGCTAACAAGCTTGGACTAGACATTGCAAACCATGCCTTCAGGCCATCCTCTGGAAAGTTTGCGCAAAGCTCCCCTTTGTAATAGAAGGAAGGAAACCCACCAGGACTTGCTAGGAAGATACCAGACTTGCCTCTCTGTATCTACATCCATGGCCAAAACGTAACGAAGCCAAAAACACTTAGATTTATTACATTGAGGACATCATGCTTATTTTCAGAGCACAAAAGCCCTTTCTGTCAAATCCAGGCCAATCTAACCAAGGCCAAATCCTATTTACCTTGACTGAGTGATGCCACACTGTTTTCTTACCTGCAGCTTTAGTTCGGATGTAGACGATCTCGCTCTTCGCTCCATGGGCATGATAGTTCTCCATCATGGTGAGCATAACAGCCTTGACATAAATAGCATACTGAGTCCACGGTTTAAGTGCTTGCAGCAAAATCCCAGGATTGTCCTCCTTACTGGGAGGCAGGTCCACGTCCACCATGTTCCAGCTGTTAGAGCCGCAGGCGTCCTGCCCGTCATATTCCGTCACGTTCTTGAAGGCTCTGAAACGGACAGCCCAAGAGGCTGTGAATTTCAACTCTAACAAAAATGCTCTTAAAACTTTTAAGGGAGAACTCTCATGCTGTCTTTTGCCCAGTGAAACTCATAATAATGAAGCACTGGCTTTTATGGAGGGATAAAGGCAAAGAATCCCAGCACTTAAGGAGTTTCTGCTTCTCAAATTTTATTTTATTTTTTTTAAAGGGAGATTCAGGAGAGGGTGTCTCTGTAGTTCCTGAAATAACAAGGGAGCCAGAAGAAGCAGCTTCTACTACTCTTTGCTTCCAACAATGGGAAGATGTTTATCGTAAGTATAGTAATAATGATAAGGAACACAAGCAACAAAGTTTGCTTTTCAGTCACTCCTTGGCTAAAGCAGATATAAAGGAAAGAAGGCTTTCCACTCTCTCTTTGTCATTAAGATGAATACTAGCAGCCTGAAGTCAAGGAATTGGCTAATTGGTTCAAATTAAAACATGGCATTCAACTCTCTCCTCTGCACAAGCACATCTTGGGTCAGTTTGCTTCTTCCAGAGTGCTAGATACCAATGCTGAAATGACAGTAAGCAACTAACATGGGCAAAATTTCCTTTCTGCACTGCAGTTCCCAAACTTGTTCGGTCATGAAATCTTTCTGAAGACATTTTTTTTCCCTGCAAAACCCTAACTCTATCTCTGATGTTTACTAAGTATTGTGAACACACAGTGTTCCTCCTCCTTTCATCTGCTCCTATTGCCCGAGTGCTCTGCACAATGCAGTCGATTTGGAAATAAAGAGAAAACATTTTAAATTTAACGAATGAATAAAGTGATTATACGGTAATATCCCAGATGAATTCTTTCAATTATTCCCAGCACTATGCAATAGAGTCCTAGGAACCAAATGACCTGATGCAGTTCCTTGTTTGCTGCTTGGATGCCAACTGACAATAGAACAGTTGGGCTCATGTGGATTTAAAGTCCGTTTTAAATTTGAATTTTGAGATTTTTTGCAGAACCCACAGAACACAGTTTGGGAACTGCTGCATGAGGGATTATCAAGGTCTATAGCCCATCAATCTAGCTCAACATGAGGGTTTTTACTTGTGTTTCCATGCCTTAACTGTATGTTTTTTAATTCTACCATGGTTTGCCACTTTGAATGCAGTTTTTAGCAAAATTTAATTTGTTGTACATTCAACAACCCTACAGCAAGAACCTCGCAGATGTAGCTACAACTATAACTCCAATAAGCTCCAGGCAGCATGTCCCTTACTTAGTGTAATACAATCCCTATGCTGTTCACATATAAATATTAAAATCGTATAAAAATTCGATACTCAAGACCATTCTTATTCCAGTACTAGTACAGAACAACACCAGCAGCAGCAATGTAGAGTAGCTTGATTAACAGCAATTAATTGTAAGCCAGGGAAAGCCTGGTGGGGCACATGCATTTTCAGAAGGCATTTCCTGAAACATCTGCATTTTCTGTCTCCTGAACTGCAAGGGGGAGGGGCTTTGGGGGGGCACCACCACCAAGAAGGTCTGCCATCGAGGTGTTAAGCGGAGGCCTTCAGAATAACAAGCAAGGCCTCCTCTGATTTTAAAGGGGGATCAGGAATATCTAGGGAAGCCAGTCTGAGAGATGCCCTGGTCCCAAGTCATGTAGGGCTTTGTGTGACAATAGCATACCTTGGAATATGACTTGGTAGCTAATAGCAGCCAGTGCACTGGGAGGACGTGAGCTGGTCTGCACAGGTAGTCCCCCAGTTGCAGCTTCTGACCAGGGACAAGGGCTGCCCCACACAGAGCACACTGCAGTAGGTCATCAGCAGAGAGGCCCCTGCAGCGGCCTTTCCTCTCCAGGATGCACCAGAGATGACGCATTGGTAATGGACACTCTGGGCCATTAAGGTTACCTGGCCAACATACAACAGGGACAGACCAAGAAATTCCCCAAACCACACCCCTTTTTCAGAGGGAATGCAGTCCCATCCAGAACAGGCAAAGAGCCAAATTCCAGGTCTTGGGATCTGCCCAGTTTGAGTGCCATGTTTTGCAGAGACAACAAATAAACTAAACCCTGAAGCAGGAGGATTAAAGCTGCCATAATCACAGGATTATAGTCCAAACATTTGGAGAGCACCAGGTTGCAGCCCCTGCCTGACAGCCACTAACGCTCCCGAGAGTGCAGCCTTTGCTACTTCTTATCCTGGCCGAAGTGCACAGCCCTTCCAAAGATTTGCTTCCCCTGTCCTTCACCCAAGCTGTCCACTCAGCTGCCCTTCCATCCTCTTGGTCCGTCTTCTAATATTGTCTCCTGGTATCACGCAAAAGTTGCTGATTCTGCCAATGAATCCTCTTGGCAGCAAACCCAAAACCAAGTCCTACACCAAGGAAAGAAAAATGAAAAGGACCCCTTAGCCATCACAGCTGCAATTTGTTGCTGGGTTGGGAACCACTTCTTAATTACAGCTTCTTAGCACAGCTGGATTCCCACAATACGACAACCCACATGCAGCAACAAAGCACGGTTCAGTCCATACTCATGTTTCTCATGTTGTGCAAATCAAGTCCATGCCTGCCTCACCACCACTCCCATAAACTTATGCCTGTCTGTGCCTTCATCTAGATCTGCATACTCACGCCTCTTTGTAGTAAACCGTGAAGCTAATCAGATCTCTGTAGTCTTTCGGGCGATACTGTTCCCACGTTAACTTGATCCGGTTCTTCATTGTAGTGTTGGAAACGAATCTCAGAATGTGGCTTTCGCCTACAATGCAAGACACTCAATTAGTTGCAAGTGCCAAAAACACTCTAGCACAAGCCTGGAACATTCTGACCTCGTAACATGGCGGATCAGTGTTCTGTTTTTGGAAGTGGCTATGACAGGGAGCGCTGCATCCAGGGCCTGCTTGCAGCCACTGTTGTGACAGATTGTCATATTTTGGTGCGAAATAAGCTCTTTCCCTACTAAAAAACTGTCTGGTGTTTTGTCTGCGGAGTGTGACTTGAGCCAGGTGTGCAAGGAAGCTACCAGCAGTGTGGCAAATGCACACTCCTATGAACTGGCAGCACATAGGGACTGTTTTCCTACACCCACGCATAGAAAACAGAGTCTTCCGTGTGTTAGCACCTTAAGTGCTGTTTCAGAGGAGATCGGCAATGCCTTTGTTTTCTTTTTGATGTCAAGTTAAAATGTTTCTTTTGTTCAGGTGCTTTAAGATTTTAATATTTCTGAATTCTAATATACATTAAAATGTAAATTACTTTTTCTTTTAATTGATTGTTTGGTATGCAAGTTAAAGGGTCCTTGTTGTTTCATTTGTTCTTTCAGGCATGACTGTATTGTTTTACAGTGGATTTGTTCAAGTTGTATATACCACCCTGGAATTTTAAGATCTAAGAGTGGTTTATAATTTTTTTAAATAGCCAGAAAACTATAGCAGGGGTGTGTGAATCAGCCCAACAACCATCATTTCATGCAAAAACTGTCCATTCATTCAGTGTTGCTGGTTCTGCAGATGAATCTTTTTGGTAGCAAAAGCAAGTCCTACACAAAGGAGAGAAAAATGAAAAGGACCCCTTAGCCCTCGCAGGTGCAATGTGTTGGGCTGTGAACCACTGGTTATTTGGGGCTAGAAAACCACGGTCAAGCTTATGTGGTTTGCTGCTTCCACTGGAAGAAGGCACCCAGTGAAACCTTCTCATTCAGCAAAGAGCCTGGATTCTTGAACTGAGAATTCAACATGCAAAGTATGTCAGACAATGGAGGGGTTTCTTGGCGGTTTTCTTTTGTGGGGTGGGGGGATAAATTGGAAACAGCCAAAGAACAGAAAGCCTTTAAGCCTTTTGTATCCTGACAGATACAATGCCAGCATCTGAAAGCCCATTTGGCTTACTTATGAAATCTCTGTTTTTTTGCAGAAAGGCAAACAAGTCCGAAAGCATTTTTCCCCCCTCACAGGGGTGGGAAAAAAGCTAAGACTTTTAAAGAAGTGAATCCTGGCATGGGACGAGAGCTAAGAGAGCTCCCCAGTTCTGTAAACATCAGTGCAGAAGGGGAAAGCTGCTTTGTTTTTATGCCACTCTTTCAATGCACACCACCAAAGGTTGCTCTGTGCTTAAGGAAAAGGAGGTGGCTTCAGTTTATTTGGACAGATGCTACTGAAACGAACAGAGGAAGCCACATCCACAAGTGTTGTGGTCACATCCGTGTGCCCTGGGACTCAGAATTCATTAAGAGCCAGAATTCCTTAGGCACCCACATACAAGCTACGCCTCTCAGCCCAAGTTTCCCCATCTGCCCCACAAGCAGTGTGTCTGCCCTAAAAAGGCAATGTGGAAAAGAAGGAGGCTTTTATTTATGTATTTATATGCTGCCATTCCCAGCCCCTCTCCCCTAAATAGCGCTCAAAGTAGCTAGCCTTCAAGCACAGGTTAAAACCAACACTTCACTGAACATTCCGCAGAAAGTGAAACACAGAATTGCAGCACTAAAGGAAGAAGCAGCACCCAAAGCATTAAATGTCGCTCCAAAACAGGGTGGCCAAAGCACTACCTGAGGAAAAGAGCATGAGCCTGTCCCTGGAAGGAACACAGGGCCAGTTCACACGTAACCATGGACAGCTGTGGATTCTTCTCCACAGAAGGCTTAAAGGAGCAAACCAGCCATGGCTGGGAACACACGTGCATCAACACGCCTGACTTGCCACGGTGCGCAATTCCAGAACTGTGAGTTGGGCAGTCCTGTCTGCTCCCTCAAAGCCCCACAGGGGGACGCTCACATAAAAGCACAATCCCCAGCAAGCAGGAATGCTGTGTGTGCCCAAGCACTGTGTGAGAGCTCCAACAGGCTGCCATGTCATGGGAACCAAATCAGCCACAGGGCTGAGCAAGTCTCCTTTGGTGATGAGCTCCAGAGCTTGGGAGTGGCCCCCGAGAAGGCCCTCTCTTGCACCTCCTGCCAAATGTTGAAACCTTAAAAGCCATATACCCGTAAGGGGGTTTCAACACTGCAAAGGAAAAGCCACACAGAATTGCATTTTTATTCCTGTTATCATTCCTCCTTTACCCCCCATTGCCACAATTTCTTCGATGAAAGCATGATATTTATCTCAAGGTGACACTCCCCTGACTGAATGCATTCACAAAACTTCTTACGTACAAGAGGCTCTCTCCCCATTGTTCCTTGGATTTATATCGCCTTTGCTTTGCCGCCCTTTGGTTCCAGTAACCTCCTCCATATGGTAAATCTCAGAGACGCACAGCCTGGGATTAAATGCAAAGTACATCTTGCCCTCTTTGATGGTCAGGTTATGATGGTTCCAGTCCCACAGTTGCTGCAGGTTTTGATTGTCCAGAACATAAAACGAATAATTCCTATGAAAGAGGATGTTGTGAAGCAGGTCAGTCTCTGTCAGCAAATGCATCAATTTCCTGTTTTGTTAGCAGTTTCCTTACAAATAATCAAAATTCATATTCTGCTGGGAAGCACCTGAAGCTGGAAAACAGCACAGAAGAGGGGGATGGGGGAAGAGTTCCATCTTTGCTCCCATGGAGAATCCTTTGGGAGCGCCTGGAGGGACAAGGAGGAATGAAGCTCATCCACCACCCCATGAAAAGCTGCAACCTTTTAATTTAAACATCATTTTATTATTATTATTATTATTATTATTATTACTACTACTACTACTACTACTACTACTACTACTACATTTCTATGCCGCCCCTTGCCGAAGCCTCGGGGCAGCTTACAACACAATAGAATACATTGAAATACAATAGAACATCATAAATTACCACTAAATACAAAAACCTTTAAACATGGTCCAACAGCACAACAGACCATGTTTCCACCACAACCTATATTCAAGCCTGGACTGTGAGTTCAAGGCAGCAGAGAGGAAAATGGATGGCAGGCAGACAAAAGGGGCGGTGCATTCAGTCCTGGTTTCCTATCTCTCACCACTGACATTCGGCCCCTAACTGATAACTGATATGAGGGAAATGCAGCCCTCTGCACAGAAAAGATTGAGCATCCTGGTCTCATGGGGTAGACAAATGGATCCCCTTCAGATACTCTGGACTATAACTCCCATGTTTCCTGACCAGTCTGGCAAGGGCTTATGGAAGGTGCAGCCCATAGCACCTTAATTTCTACTAGTAACTTAGAAAAAGCAGTGGGGATGAATCAGTGCTGGTGACAACTCTACCATGGCTACTGTTAAAAAGTCAATGGCTTTCTTGCCCCTGGGATTTTCTCCTTGTGCTCCGTGTGGGATCTAAAGATGGAAGTCTTCAAAGCAGCAACGAAGACGGGGTCTGCCTTAATTGAGCCAGAAAGGCAGGCCCCAGAATCTGTAATTACATTAGGGTGAAAAAACCCAATCTTGCTGATGCCCTGAACACCAGGCAAGCGTCGTTATTGAAACAGACAGTGGGATTTTTCAAGCGTGGAAACGAGAGCTGCCCTTTACAGCTTGTTCCATCACACTGTGGAATTTTAAGAATTTAAAGCTGACCAAAGCACAGCCTGAGAAAAAAGGGAGGTTTGCAAAGAAACCCTCATGCTGTAACATAATCCTTTCAGGTCAGATAAATCAGACACACACAGTGCCTTTCCCATGACCTTGCTACCACCTTGTTCAAACAGTTTTCCCAAATTCTTGTTTATTAACTGCCACCACAGCTTATATCTGAAAGGAAACATAAGCATGGGGGAGACAGGACAAAAAGCAATTCCCCAAATTTCCCTGCCCAAAAGAGTTCTGAGAGGCTTTCCCTTTCCCCCACTGCTGATGAATCTTTGTTCACACATATAATACAAAAGTGAGAGATGTCTCTTGATCTGGGTCCAAAAGGAATTAAGTATGTGGCACCTGGATATATAAATATGCCCCTAAAGAGCACACATGCCTATCAGTGAACGATTACCAAGCCTTCTTTCTTTGAAGGTGTGGCTGAAGTAGTATAAATGCCACTATTATACACAAGCCCAGAGGATGTTTCATCAGGTGCTAAGTTTAGTCCCTGAGAATGTCACTGAATTAAAAGCTTCTAGTCCTCATGGCTGTGGAGATATACTCGGAATCGCCTGGGAAAGTTTCAGAAGCTCAAGGAGGCTGAACAAGGTTCCCAACAGTTTGGAGAAGGGCATTTGTGTTTCACAGAGCTCCCCTGTGGACTGGCCACAGTGCATTGGTGCAAAACACGCTTGAGAGGCTGAACACCACAGATCCGAAGTTGGAAAAGTTTCTGGTGCTGAGAAAGACCTCTGCCTGCGCCCTGGGTACCCAGCGCATCTGGAAACAGACAATGCTGTGCCGGAGGAACAAAGCTGCCTGACTTGGTACATACGCCAGCTTCATACGTTTCTATGCTGGTGGCAGTATGAAACTGGTACCAGAACAGAATCTGAGCGATGCAGGCAGAGAAAGCAGGTGGCTGTTTCTCCCTTTAAGGCCAGAAGTACACTCAGCTGCGAGTGCCACTTTTTGCTCCATTTGCCATCCTTAAGCATGTCCCCAACGCACCCCAGATTCTCTCATGCAACACTGCAGGGAGTGCCTTGCTGGACCAAACCAACATGTATTCACTCCAACCTTCTGTTCTGCATGTGTGACCAGCCAGGAGCAATTGCTTCACTAGCATTTCCTTGAGCAAAGACCACCATTTGAAGAGGAAGGCACTAACAAAGAAGGAAAAGAAAGTATTCTGTTGACATGCTGATCTACGTAACATTAAATACCCTCACCACAAGGTCTAGAGATGTGTTCAAGACCCTTTAAGTCTTCCAAAACTCTTTTTCCCTCTGTACTGGTACAGAGCCTTTTCACACTGTATGTTTGTAAGTAAACACTGGACAAGCATAATGTATAAACCCAGATGTTTTAAGCACCTAACTACATATGTAAAATGTGAATGCAACAAATGCGTTCATGCACAGCTAGATGTGGCAGAGAAACTGGACTACCTGTAACTGCTTCTTGAGTATACATACTGTGGCAAATCCAGGTTGTCCTATGTAATGAACCTGTTCACATGTAACATAGGTGAACTGCAGGCTAATTCACCTAGGATTTTGCCATAGTATGTGCTGGGAACGTTCCACCACCATTTCATGTATGCAAGCTCCAATCATTCTTACCTGATGCCCGACCCTGGATAACTATAGGTTAATCATGGGTTAAATAACCCATTCTTGGTTGTTACGTTAGTTGTGGACTCTTTAACCACATGATTAACCTGCTCAGCACATAGCTACCGCCAATCGGAGCAACTGGAGCTTGCATATGCAAAATGGTGGTGCAATGTTCGCAGCAAATCCTGGGTTAATTAACCAATTATGTGCAAACAGGCTCGATATCCCTCATGTATCCAGACAGATTCCCAATCAAACCTGCTGGCTGAAAGCTTTCACAGGAGGTTTTCATTCACAGCCCGGAGTTTGCTGAACCATTTACAATAAGAGAGCAAGAGATAAAGCTAATTTGCACCTTATCATTTTTGTTTAAGCTTGTGTAGGTCATTCTAGCAAACCAAGAATATTTGCTAGAGGATCTGTCTCTAATGGCAACATATCCAGGACAGACGACTGAAACAGAATCATCATTATACGCTGAGTAGATGCTCACCCTTCCAGTTGCTCCTCTCCATTAATATATCTCAGATTCTTCAAGAAAGAGAGGGACACCAAAGCATGTGAATGCCGGATCTTCACATAGCCTGTCACTGTTTCTATCAAGCCCATAAAGTTCTCCAGTTCTGAGGCAATGTTGTCTGAAAAAAGAATTCAAGAAAAATACTAGCAAAAAGGTTTTCTCATATGCACATTTAACTTAACAAGGTGAACTTCAGCTCTCCCTGTTCAATATGGATGCCACGCTCAGCAACCCAACCTCTCCAATTTACCTATGAAAAGTGAGGCAAGCGGAATGCAAAACTAGATACCGCTACAATTTTGCACTGTTAACTTTTCAGTTAGTACGACAGCCTTCTTCTCCCATGAATGCTCGCTACTACTAATGCCAGTGTCGAATTCTGAGCTTTCAACAGCCAGAGTTTTGGCAAGACTCTCTAACAGTTGTAAATCTAAGCATACAGGAAGCTGCAACTCTGTTATGCTCTGTGACAGATGTAAGGTTTACCATATTAATGCTGGTAGAAAATGCCCTTCTGAGAAGCACCATGGCCCCGTGGTCTTAAGTTATCTTGACCATTCTAGACAAAATAAGCATGCCTGTTCCTTCAAACTGGAAGGCTTGGAAGAGCCATCTAGGAATGAGGAGTCCTTTAGTCCAACCAGAGATGCCTCGGAAGGCTCAGGAGGAGGACACGATCACCAGTGTCATCCCCCTGTTTAGTCAAGGACTTTAATTCTTCAGTGGTACCTTTTTCCTGAGCAGAGAGGTTAGCTATCGCTAACCGCTGTGGCTAAGCCCCACAGTTTCTGTTGTGCCAGCAGGAGCCACCTTCTGCTTGACAGAAACGGGTGGCTTTGCCAGCAATTCCAGAAATGAGTGGAAAGGGGCCAGCCAACGAAGGTCTCTCTTGACCTACCCAGTTTCCAAAACTGGTGCTTTTCTTGGTATCAAGTGCTACTAACTCCACACTGTGCTAGGTGTTCAATGCTGCCCAGAGGTGCCACGTGGTGATCATGGGAAGTAGAACTTCTTTTAGTAGTGGCACTGGGGCTGCCAAAGAAACAGCTTCTTTGCGTGATTGAGAGACAGTGGAAGCTCGAGTATCCCAAGTCATTTTGATGAGGCACTGACAGACTCGGAATCCTCTTAGTGTGAGTGAAATTTCTCTGAGACAGCCATTCATGGGGGCCATCTGTGGGAGGGGGGCAAACAAATGTGATGAGCAGCCCAGCTCACGTGGGAATGTTCACAACAGAAAACTGAGCACGGTATAGGTTCTCCACAGCTCTTAAGCAAATTGCTCTAAGTTCCTTGTGGGAACTATTCCTTGTAAGCTTTGCTATAGCTCAACATAAAGAAAAATAAATGATGTTATTTCTAGGGTTGGCAAATGACTCAGGCCAAAAAGAACGTTTTTTTCCCTAACATATCGCAGCTTTTAACAAGGTACCTTATCTCGGACATTTTGTTCTAGCAACTCTAACTGAGACAAATTATGAGCTAACTTAAAGACACTATATTAAACGCTATTTAAAGATTGTGAAACAAGTGATCAAAGAAAAACAAGGGCACAAAAACACAGAGCAAAAGGCACCCAACTTGGATTCACTTTGGCAGCGTTGGTCCCTCTCCTTGATCCAAAAACCAAACTCACAATGTTCCACCCTGGACCTTTCCCCTCCCACACCTCTACTTAAACAGAGGTGCAGCGTGCATTTTGAGAAAGAAAAAAGAGGAACACTTCTTAAAGATTAGCGTCAGTTGGAATCTTCCCAGAGGATGAATCACCACTCCAACAAATCGTTAACTAAACACTCATTTTCTGTTAAGACACGTACTGGCCCTGGCCAGCACAGCGCAGAGGAGCGCTGGGGTGGAAGTGATGGCGCCAGTATTTAAAGAGGGCACCATGTACACTGCAAAGAAAATTTTGCCACCAGGCAAATACCTTAATTCGCAGACATGCCACCCAACGTCTGCGTGATAAGAGGTGCCAACTTCAAAACGCAGCCTTACAAAAGAACCCAAAATGGCCACACCTCCTCCCTCTCTTTTCCAGGTTTGCACCCAAAGCCCTTATCTCAGGATCCACCTCCAAGGTTGAAGTGGGTTTCATTTCCCTCTTCCGAGAAATCTTCTAGTTGTCACATGGAAAAATCTTTTCTGTGCTGACCAGGAAAAAGGCCCTCCTAGCATAACAGAGGCCTCATTTGCTGGAGTTTTGTGGCTGTTCTTTAATTTTTATATTGATCTCTCCCTGTGCTGCTTCTTGTTTACACTGCAATACATTATTTTAACTAGTTCTATTATATTGTATTCTTTTAACTGTCCATAATCCACCCAGAGAATGCTCATTATTGGGAAGATTAAAACTTAGAACAGATAAATTATTGTTCTGGAATGTCCTAAGTCTATACACTCAAAATAAATGCAAATTTCAGCTGCTACAGTGATGTGAATTTAGAATATTGCATACACCTTGCTTTCCCTACCCTTCCAGATATTCATTTGGGAATGTGTGCATGCTGGGTAATAAATGAAAAACTGGATGGAGTGAGCCACAGCCACGTTTCCAAATTGTGCCAATCATTTGTTTCCTAGACTAAGAGCTTCTAAAAAGCAGCTTGCATTACAACCAAAGCAGAACTTTAACACTATATTAATAAATGACTGCAAAAGCAGTTCAAAATGTGAAACACATATGAAATGCAGGGAGTTCAGTATTAGTATTGAAAGGAGCTAGGAATAAACATGCATTTAAAACTAGTTTAAAAGCTGCTGACAGTGGGGGATGCAAGCCCTAAGAGAGGGCCACCCCGAAACTGCACTGTTTCCACCAGTCCAGGTGACCTGCATGCCATACCTGCAAGCAGAGACTCTGCGGCCGACCTGAGGGCCTAGGCAATTCCATCCGAGTGCTTGCAGACAAGGAAGCGTCCTGCTGGATTAGACCAAAGTCCCAACTGGCCCAGCATCCTGTCACATAGCAGCCAGCCACCTGGCCAAGGGGAGCCTGACACCCTCCCTAGCAACTGGTGGCATACCTCCTCTGAAACTGGCACTAATATATACCTTTCATGGCCCTTGAAGGCCCTTTCTGACATGCAGTAGCAGTCCAACTCCTTAGGGCTTGGACAGTGATGCCCAGTTGAGCCAGGAAATACCCCTCCAGTCAGAGCAGCTGTTACCCAATCAGTGTCCTATACACCAAAATCCCACTTCCTCAGCCTGCTGGGTAGCTGCATTCTGCACTAACTGCTGATTCCAAAACCACTCAAAGGCAGTTCCCCACAGAACACATGGCAGGAATCTAGTGGGATCTGGGTGTAAGCGAGGCACGAATGAGTGAATTTTGGACTCCTGCAGCAATCAGTATGGAAATACGTGAGCTCATACAGAATCATAGAATCATATAGCTGGAAGGGGCCAAGAAGGCCATCGGGTCCAACCCCCTTCCAGCAGGACACTTAGTTACTCCATCCCACTCAGAGGACTGTTCTTGAATGCCTCAAGTGCAGAAGAGTCCACATCCTCCAAAAGCAATATATGTACCCAGGCCATGAACTGAAGCAATCCAGCCAAAGCCAAAGCTTCTCTTTTGCCTCCCTGATCTAAAGAAGGAAGATATGAAGTCCCTCCTGCTGGCTAGGCAAGAAATGATGCAATTAAAAGGGTTGGTAATTAAAGTGACATAGCAGGCACTTCTAACTAGCCTGCGATACATTACAGTCATTCAGCTATTTTCTAGATGTACTGAACTACTGTTCCCACGATTCCCAGCCAGGATGCCCACTGGCCATTAGGGTAGGGAAGACTGAGCTACCTAGGCTGATTAAGCAAAGGAGTGTTCAAAACAGCCTTGCCATTCCTACAAAGCGTCCCATCTTTTTCCATGCAGGTTCCTAGAACTGGAGAAGTGCATCAAACCAGAGAAGGCAATGAGAGCAATGTAAACCACACACGTGCACATGCAAGCAGGCAAGCAAGCAAAACCAAGAATTAGTTCTTCACACTGGGGACTACAAGGTGACCTCAACAGAGCTAGCAAATGAACACTCAACATTCCTCCACAGAGGAACATCTACATACTGCCACGACGGATGTTGATGAGCAGATTCCCTCTGATTTCTGTGCATCCTTGTAACAACTGTGCTGATGTGACCGAGTCGATGGTCATTGTCTTATCGTCTGCACACACTTTTGGACAGGGTCCTTCACAGGGACTGCAGAACATGCTGGGTAAGAGAAAAGGAAAATCAAAAGATCAGCAAACATTGGCAGATCTGCTTTAAAAACAGGTTTGTCCTCAACCTAATGGCCCCACTGTTTTTCCATGTATGAAGAACCCAAGGTGGCTAACATAGTTTTCCTCCACTCCATTTTGATCCTCATGACAACATCCCTGTGAGTCAGGCTGGGGATGAGTGACTGGCCCAAAGTCACCCAGTGCTCTTCATGGCCCCATGGGGACTAAAGCCCAGATTGCCCTGAATCCCATCTTAAACATTAGCCAGGTATGCACAGGGACCAGTGGTCTGATCCCACCATGCTGGTGATAATGAACTCGCTGCTCAAGTCTTTGAAACACCATGAAGAGCTGCTCCAACAGCTTAGAACAGAGCAGCGCTGCACACAGACTGGGCTCTGAGCCTGGCAAACTCAGATGGGATGGGGCCTTCTACCCTCAACTGCAACTGAAATGAAGTGAACGTTCATATTTGTTCTTTGTTGCCTCTGCCTCCTTCCTCAATAGGCTAAGACCACAATCCTAGGCATTCTCTTAGCTGAGACTGCTGGAAGCTGTAGAATGCTTTGCTTTCTCAATGCACACAGGACTGCACCTCAGTGCCATCGAGATTAGACTGGCAGTGGTTGGGGCAGGACCTGCCTCCTTTTTGCTTCGTCAGCTGACGCCGTGGCAATTCTGAAAAGCAGCTGCCCACATGGGCCGCTACATGAATTGACAGGCGTGTGTTCCGAAGCACGGCTAATGCACGCCAGAAATTGCTCGTGGAAACACACCAAGGATTTTTAGTGCTTCACTTGCAGCGACTGGTGTTCCATCGCAGAAGATTAGAGAAGAAGAAAAAGCACAAGCATGCGTATCACTGGCTCTTGATTTGCCACTTCCTGCCCATCTTTCCTATTAGCACACTGAAACTTGGATAAGATAAGCCATGCTTTGCTTTTTATGAGTGTTTTTAATCGCTTGAAAACACAAGTGGTCAGATAATGGTGAGGAAAAACATTTCCCAGTAAACATTTGGTTTCCAGCTAGGGGCAGAGATCACTGCTTTGCACCTGTATGTAAGCTTGAAAATCTTAGGGGAAAGGGGAGGTTTGTTTGGACAGCTTTGTACAAAAGCAAGAAAAGCCAGGTGTCACTGGGAACTCAACTCACAGCCCGCATAGAAGGTAAAGAAGAAGGGGGGGGGGACCAAATCACGGCTCTGTAGAATGTTTTATGTTTTCAAACCAACTACTGATGAGAATGCCAAAGTTCTCAGAAAGAGAAATCCAATGCCCCAAAACTGCATCTGCTGAACTCTTCCTCCGAGCACTGAGAAGGAGAGCTAGTCATGGATCTTCCTTCCCAGCTGTTGCAGAAAATGTCAGCTGCGAGCTCACAACTGCACTCCGTAGAAGTTCAAGAGGGAGAAAAGGGGGCACTTTGGAGGATGGGGAGAAGAGAATACAACACAAATACAACGTATCCTATAAAATTATCTTGTTTCCTCCTCACTCACCAAAAGAGAAGTCAGCTAGACTGGCTCAGAGGCTTCCACAGAGGAGTGGAGGTGAAACTGCCTCTGACCTCCACTCACCTTGCCCAGCTCCTGCCACCATCTGTCTATCAGGTGGGCAACACATAAAGGTCGTGTCCTCAGTCAGGCATGGGACAAAGACATGCGTTCTGGCCCAGGAGAACTCCTGTCCATGAGGTAAGTTCGACTGTGATTGCAGCATCAGACCAGATCTGCCCCTCTGGAATTTGTCACCAAAGTTCTTTGGCAAAAGTTTAAACCAAGCACTTTGGAGAACTCAGAAAATGCAGCGATGCCAAAAGGAACTGAGTGTTAAGTTCTCACACGACATTTTCATCGGTCAGTGACAGTGATAAGAAGGAGTGGCAAGTCCACACAAAGCATACACATATAGACAGACCACGCAGGTCAGCGATAGAGAGACAAAAACACTGATCATGGATTGCTCAACTTAATCGATTAAAAACTGGTTGCTGCATGATTTAACATTCTTGATATCTGAAAATCCACTGTGCATAAACATCACAAAGGAGGAAGGACCTCAGACTAGCCTCTTCTTGGACATGTTAGTTTTCTATGTGGAGGAATTTTAATCATGAAAATGTTCAAAGATGATTTGTTGAAAGCCCAAATCCTGCTCTTTAACCAAGAGGCCCAAAACAAATAAAGAGTTCCAGAGCAGATTACAAACATTAATACTAAGGCAAGTTTATCATCTAGAAAGGGTGGCACAATGAAGGCGTGATCAAGGAGAAGAAGGGAAAAAGAAAACTTCCAGTACCAGTTATGGTTCCTAATACAAGCAGCCCCTTCATGCCACCCATACAAAGTGGAACAGTCCATAAATGATTACAGCACATGATCTGCAGTTTGACTGGGCTGGCCCTCTCTGATCAGTTGCAGGTGGGACAGCTGCAACCGACCAAATGCCAGAGGGAGAACAGATTCCTTGAAACACATGTTCTTTCTTTGATTTCCATAGATTCATAGCCATCTCAACTGAAAAGGTTCAAGGCACCTACAAGTATATCCAGCCACGAACCTCGGATGCAGATACTCAACTCAAAGCTGATTTCAAAAAAGGACCTCGCATGAAATTAACAGAGACTGTTCACATGCTGAGGCTGCAGGACTTTAAATGTCAAGACCTCAGGAAGAGATGTACTTAGGAGCAGCCTCAATCTGCATCAGTGTATACTATCAGCAGAATGGGAGGGAGAGGTATGTAAAGAGTTGTTTGGGTCCCGTCCAGCTGGACTTCTCTCCACCATCAACTGCCCTGCAGGAGCACTGCAGGAGAGGGAGACACTCAGTAAGCATACTAAATATGTGCCCCAGCTTTTTCTGCCTTGGGGCCATCTTCCATCAAAGGCCTGTGGGAAGGATACTCATAATTTTGATACAGACAGAGTTGTGATTTTAGCATTCTTATTATTTGTAACCTGCCTGGGTAAGAGTTGTCTCTTGCAAGATCACATACAAATAAAACGCAATAAATAATATAAATGCACAACTGCGGGGGGGCAGAAGTGTTTAAAGCTGCATGATGCTTCCCCAAATGATCAAAACAACACCCTTCTCCCATAGAAGGAACTCGCAGGGAGAGGACAATCAAAGGCAGCAGAGCCCAGGGAAAGCCCTATCACATTGTTGTGCCATCACTGATCATACAATGAGGTTTAATAGGTAACAGGTGGAGTCAACCACATAGAGGTGCATCACACAGAGGTGCTTAGCACACCTGCTAAGATCTGTACCGCCTTATTTCTGAACGGGGCATCTATTTCCCATGCTAGCCCAGACTTGTGTGTACAGCCAGATTCCAGATCAAAGCACCTGCTAAAGGCCCATGCCTCAAACATGCTAGTCTTGCTCTACTCCAGATAATGGTGACCAATATAAGCAGCAGCGCAATAGTCCATACCCTTGATGTGTTTTTGCACACACGGATCATCATATCTGAGGACAGAGGCAGAGAGCTGCACTCAAAAGTTGACATCATTCCCCACCCCTGCTTTGCAAATGACGAGGCTATGTGCACTTGTGGTCTGCATGTATACATCTGTATGAAGTGTGCTACCTCTGGGTATCATTGCGCACGAATCCGGGGGGACACTCGGGCACACACTCGTCGTCGTGAATCACAAAACTCTCGAATTCATGCAATTCCGAGGCTGGTATCCTGGAGCAGTTCTCCTTCGTGATGCAGCGCCAGCCCTCAAACTTGTAAGTGTTGGGCGGGCAGGTGGGGACGCAGGTTCCATCGTGATAGTAGTTCCGACAAGCCACACATGCCGAGCTGTTGTTCGGAGCGGTGCAGCTGCCCAAGCACTCCGGGTGGCAACATTCGTTCTGCTCTGTGCAAGCGTATTTGCCACAAGCACTGGGACACACTGTGAAGAGACCAGAACAGTTTCAATAAAGTGATACTTGAAAATGACAGATGCAATACCAGAGGTCCCCTATCTGTTTATATCTTTCCTTACCCATTTATTCCACTCTTCTAGAGCATTCAGAGTGATTTCACAATATAAAAGTTTTTTCCACTCCTTCCTGACTTGAGTTTGTTTTGCAAATCAGCAACACCACCAAATATAGAATGCAATGCACATCACTAAAAGCAAACACATTAAATGTGTCTTTTTAAAATTAAGTACGGCAGTTTAGCGATTCAAAAGCAAACTAAACAGCAGTGAAATGAAACATTAAATCCCAACTGTAAAAGAGAAAGGTTTTCAGCTTCTGATGGAAGGAAATCCGAGAGAGTGATGGATCATGCCAAAGGCGTATTCCACAACTGGGAACCCCAATAACACAAGACAGTGGCAAAGCAAGCAAAATTCTGAAATTCAGTTTAAAGGACAAGAAAGCCTGTTTGAGGAGGAAGAGTCCTGGAATACATAGGCCTTTAAAGGCCAAGCAATCAAGGGCATTGATACACAATTGGCATATGCTTTGATTGACAGGTTCAAGTCAAAACTCTGGAACTCTATTTTGGACCAACTAGATTTTCCCAATTTTACATGGCAGTCCCACACAGAAGAACTGGAGCTGTCTACCTTAGTTACACTAGGCACACAGGCTAAGATATACAAGGTTTGCCTTCTCTATCAGAGGCTTCCTCTCCCATTGCCTGTGCCATTACCTATCAAAGTCTGTTCTGGTCAGCAGAGTTGAACCTGTTTGACTCAGACTCCAAACCAGAAGCAACGGAGGTGCTGAACAACTCCACTGAGACTCTGCTGAGTAGGAGGGATGCGAGGTTCCACAAGTCAGGCAGGGGGACAAGCAGAACAAGATCCTGGATCCACACCAATGCCTTACAGCTCACGCTACATTCCAGGTTCAAATTCTAACCCAGACATGACCCAGCTTTCTGCACTTATCCAGAAGTCATCATCCCAGCTATATGCTCTGTCTCCAGTATGCAACAAAGGACTTTCTCTGCCAATCTTCCACAGGAAGCTGCCTTGTCTCTGCCCATTGCCTGCTACCACATTCTAGTTGCCAGTCAGTGCCCCTGGTAATTGTGTGCGTGCAAAGCAAGTGCTCTGTCCCCGGACCATGTCCCCAACCCTTACATTAGCCCTCCGTTCCTCAACATTCCTTTGCTGACGTTTTCTCCCTTGGGAAGTTTGAAGGTTTGGAACACTGCTGTGGGAGACAGTGACTTACTTATTCTTTACATCAGGCAAGAGAGACTTAAGGACCATTCTCAGTATTGCTTGAACAAGTAGTTCGAAGAGCAAACTGGTGTTCGCTTGATGCTACAAGGACTCTGCTCAGATACCAAACTTGTTGGCCTGCATTGAGCTGGCCTGATCTAAATGGATGTAAATATTAGAAGCTTCCCAGGCTATTAAGGGGCTTCCATAGCAGCAACAGTGCATCTTACAAGCAGATGGATTGGTGCGCCCCATGAGTGGCAAAATGGTGCCAAAATTTAATATGGTGACCTGATTTTCCATTTGCACAAGGAAATCAAGCAAAGCCACACAGGCACATGCCTTGCATCTAAAGGCTTGCCTGATGATACCTAAAGAGCACTGTGTGCCATGATGAGCATTTATTCAGGTCTTCACTTTGCAAAAGGCAGAGGAGAACGTTCACAAATGCCATGAACCGATCTTCTCCATCAACCCACAGATAAATGGCACATCACCTCAAATCACAGAACACTCTTTGCATCTCACATGTTTCAGAAAACCCTGAAGATGTAATTAAATGGGAACTGGTTGTTCCTAACACAAGTGACATTTACTGTTGTTCCTAAAAACAAATTAGCAAAAGCAAATGGACAGTTTAAATAGCAGGAAAACTTTCTTGTCTTTCAAACACAAAACTATGCCATGGGACGTTCTCCTAGTAAATTACAAACTTCAAAGAGGCCACGGCAGCAGGTATCTGCTAAAGCACAAACTTTTCTGGAATATTTAAAAAAAAAAAAAACAAGCAAAGATTTCTCTGCACCTTTTTGAGGTCCATCACACTTTGCTGAATTTGCCTTAGAGTTTAGACGGGCTAATTATTCCCACCACTTTCAAAACGCCGTGACTGCAGCAAGGCTGAAATGGAGCAATTGGGTGAACAAACAGTCCATCAAATGGAACAAAAAATGGAGCCAACAGGGCAAGACTTCTGGCAAGCAAAGGCTACAGCCTCCGCCAAGGTTGGCAACGTGCCTTTTGCACGCGGGCAGATGCTGTGTTGCCAAGTATGGAGTATTTTTTATTTTTATTTTTAAAAGATCCTTCCCTTTTTTGTAAAATGATATTGGAGTCTTCCTCTCCTGCCCCCTTCCCCCCAGCCTCACAATCCTGCTCCCCCTCCCAAGAAAAACATCAACATCCAACCAAGTATTTCAGTGAAAACAAAAATAATTAGGGGATTCAGGTGACAGCCAAGCTGTGTACATAAATGCTGTCTGATTTCACTTCTGAAAAGTAAAAGGGATTTGGGAATATCAACTTGTATAACTCTTGGAAGAGTCTTTCCTTTTCAGACAAGGTTTCTGTAACTGCTTGCACAACAGCTTACAGGAAATGCCATTTGAAAGTTTTAATTATGCTCATTAAGTGCCTTTTCAAAGATTCTAAACGCTTCAGGTGAGTTATATACCATGTAGAGGACCTTCCTTGTTTCATTTTGTTTCTTGTCTCCTGAAAGTGCCTAACGGCTAAAGCTCTCTGGGCAGTTTACAAAGGTTAATTGTCCCACTCTTGTAGACTAATGAACTTTGAAAAGGTGTTAATACAGACAACCTTCTAAGCCAACCTACAGCTCTCAGAGTAGTACCCACTGACTGATGCCCACCTGAGTGAAGCCATGCCTGCTAGCATGCTATGCATTGCCCCCCCACAGCACCCCCCCCAAAATCCCGAGGAATGATTTGTGCACTCCATGACTCTGAAAGGGGGCAACCCCACTGCAGTGGGGGGCAGAATATATCTCTGTCCCTCTGACAGAGGGCTTCTCATTGGATGAAATGCAGTACTATGTGCCCCTAAAGATATTGTTGCAGGTTTCAGCCACATGGACATATTTCTAATTAATTATAATTAATGTACTTTTAAAAAAATACCCTGAGATTCACACACATAGGGTCCCCCTATTATGCAGACCAGTATTCAGGTTTCCACATTTCACAATGTTGGGGCTAGGGCATAGATAAACACACACGCACATGTCATTATTGATAAGATACTGTGGACAAGAGACATTGGCTTGCCTGAGGAGCCAAGTAAAGTTGTTGGCAGACAAAGAATTCAGACCAGGAAGGTCCTACATTCATAGCTCAAGTTTCTTCCCAGCCTGCTGCATTTGCAGGCCCTTGTTGCTCCTTGACGGGACTCAAACTCATAACCACACTTGTCCAAAGCAGAGGGAAAGGTACCACGCTTACTCCACTGCAGCTCACAACCAGAAGAACAAACATTTACAGAGACGCTCCGAAGAGTGGCGATCGCCCCACCATCTCTCCAAAGTAACCTGCCAAGGCGCTTTCAAGTGATGCCAGCTTCTAACGAATTCAATGCAGCCAACATGCAGCGCATTCAAACACCGGGCTGATACAGACTGGCACTCCAGGGACATGGGAAAGGTGGGGGACTTCTGTTCATATTGTTTTCCTTTATCATGACAGACAAACTGCAGCGACTAACACAGGGGCAGTTCCATGGACATGCCGTGTGAGGCAGAGAGGCCAGGAAGAAGAACAGTGGGGTGCTTGGGGAAAGGACAGGGAAACAGACAGACCTCTTCGACCTCCGTACAATCAGCGGGGAAAAGGAAGCGTGGTGCCGTCGTTCCCTGCCTGGCATGCACTCCGCACAAGCTGCCATGTCCTTCAGAGTGAAGGAGGTGCAGAGCAGGGCCAGCTTCCAGACACCTCAGAACCCTTCCCTTGGCCACCATGTTGTAGTGATGGGCGTGATGGGTGGACCTTGGGAAGTCCAGGCTCTGGCACCCACTCGGCCACAAGTCTCACTGAGTGGCTCAGGGCCAGTGGCTGCCTCTCAGCCTAACCTACCTCACAGGTTTCCTGCTGTTAGGACAAAAGGGAGAGCAAGAACAGAGGGATCACAGAGGCTCCCATGGGTTCCCTGCAGGGCAAAGGAGGGTTAACAAATATCATAAATACAAAAAATAACAAAACCTATATGCCACGAGGTTATTACGCCCTGTGCCCTCTCCTAAGTTAGGCTGCTAAAATCAAGCAAGCATATAGGAAAACAGGAGACATTTGAAAAGTACATGTACATGAGTTCTGGTCCCAGAAACCAATTTCTGGGCTATGTCTGTGCAAGCTCCATGCCGCCCTTCCTACGACTCCATTTTGACCTGGCTGCAGTTGCTGCTACCCTTGCTAAGTTCTAGCAAAAAGCAAGATTGTGTGTGCCCTTCCCTGGATCGAGGTATCAACCAACTTGAAGAGGTCCAGCAAGATCAAGACTCCACACCTCCCTCCCTCCATTCAAAGCCTCAGTTCTCATAAGTGGTCACCACAGGAAGACTTGTCAGTCCCGCAAAGAAATGCATCACTAATATTTAACTCAAACATATAAACTACTATCATTAAACTAAACCCAAAGGCCTCGGAGATATGCTATTTCAACATGTCATGCCACTTTATTTTATAAGTCCAAAATAGGCTGCTCATTTGGTTTATCCAAACACAAAATGTTTTGTTTTTTTTAAATTTTGAATTCAGGTTTAGATCTGCCAGTATGGGAACAAGAAATTTGGGGTGGGGATGGGGGTAGATACTTGATGTGTTTTAGATGATTGTGTACTATTTTAAAATGCACTTTAGTAATAGATTCTGTTTTATGTTCTCTAATGAATACATACGAATGAATGAATACACAAACAAACAGGCCACTCCTAATCAAGT